CATATCTCCTGCGTTGGAGATAGGTGGCTTTTTTCCATATTTATCACAAAACCTAAATCCATCAGGTGTTTTGTGACAATGTGTGTGTGAACCCTGGCTTCCTGTTCTGACTGCGCTAACAGGAGCCAGTCGTCTAAATACGTGGCCAGACGTATCCCCCGGCGTCTGAGCGGGGCTACCGCGGCCTCTGTGCACCGTATGAAAACCCTCGGACTGAGAGACAGACCGAATGGTAGAACACGGTATTCGTAACACACCCCTTGAAAGGCAAACCGGAGATATTGTCTGTGAGGGGGATAAATGGGAATGTGGAAATACGCGTCTTTCAGATCCACGGACGAAAACCAGTCGTTCGGTCTTACTAGACGCAACAGAGCTGCATGTGTCAGCATCCTGAACTTGTATTTCCGCAGGAATTTGTTCAGGGCTCTTAAGTCCAGAATAGGGCGGATTCCTCTCCCCCCCCGTTTGGGGACGAGGAAGTATCTGGAATAAAACCCTGACAGACTCTGTTCGGGAGATACGACAGAAACTGCTCGTTTGTCTATCAGAGAGAGAATTTCCTCCCGTAAAACTCGAGCTGATTCTCCCTGTGCATGTGAGTGTATTACACCGGAGAAGCGGGGAGGGACAGTGGCGAATTGAAGCCTGTATCCCCGGGAAATTGTGCGCAACACCCACAGTGGAGCTGCTGCTGCTCTCCAGCTTTCCCATCTGAGAGAGAGCGGGGGAACATATTGCGGCTCCTGCCCCGCGCCCCCCTGTGGTGGAACCGAGAAATGATTCTCGGGCACCACCGGAGGCACGGTGGAGCGCTCTGCTCTGCTCCGCGGGGACGGCGGTGCCCGTCCCGGGAGCAGAGCTGCAGGGGGCTGAGCGGCCACCCTGCTTATAGAGAGAGCATCGTCTGTTTTGGCTTTTTTTATTATCTGCACCCTCGGCTCGTGGCCTGGCTGTGACAGATTTATTTTTATTTTGACACCATTTTTTCTTTGAACAAGGGTGTGTGACTGTGCTTTTGGACATTCCGCTCGGGGCGCAACCGCGCAGACCTCCGGGGCGATGTCCTTCTCCTCGCAGACCGGCTCTGGGATGGGCAACGGTGGCGTGGGGTGCGCACAAACAAGCCAAAACGGTGGGCCTGCGCAACGGGGAACAGCAGGCTGCACCAACTGAGGAACTGGCGGCTGTCAGGCCGCCCTCTTTTTCTTCCTCGCCTCTGGGACCGAGCTCGCGGCGGCTGTGGGCGGCGGCGGCGTAGCGGTCGTGGAGGCAGGTTTCCCCTGCCAGCCGGCTCCGCGCTCCTTCCTCATCGGAGGGGGCGGACCTGGCGGTGGTGGCCGTCTTGGTACCTTAAAACGCGGCGGCTGGGAGGCTGCATGCGCAAAGGTTTTGCGTTGCACCGGAGGTGAAGGCGCAGGGGCTTTCCGAGGGAGACAAAGTTTGAGGGCCTCGTTGTCCTTTTTCTTTGCCTCACATCTTTGCTGCATTGTGGCCAATGCAGAGCCGAAGATGCCTTCAGGGACGATCGGCATATCCAGGATGTCATCCCGCTCCCTGTCGGTCAGGTTAGCGAGACTGAGCCATCGCGCTCGCTCCTGGACGACGAGGGTTGCCATCACCTTCCCTGTGGCCTGGACCGCGACACGTTGGATACGGAGAGACAGGTCCGCGATGACCGCCATCTCCTCCCACGCATCCGGGTCTTGCTCCTCTGCAGACGCGCCAAACAACTCCGCTTGGTAGGCAGTGAGGATGGAGAGGGCGCTGAGGGCTCTGGCCGAGAGGGCTGCTGCTTTGTATGCCTTTTCGGTCAGCGCAGACTGGAACCGTTCGGGCTTAGCTGGCAGCGTCGGGCGTCTGGGGGAAGCTGCAGACAGCTGGCTCACGCTGCCTGGGCAGAGGTGCGCAGCTACCGGGACTTCCACCGGAGGCATGGAGAGGAGGCCGTGGGCGTCCATCGCCTCGCAGTCGAGGGATGCTGCGCCCGAAATAGGGCTCCTGTTGCTGTATGGGCAGCTAGTCCATGTTTTGGGGAGCTCCGTCAGCAACTCGGGGAAGACAGGGAGAAGCTGCTTCACCGCATTTCGTGCCAGGGGAAGCCGTTTGCCTTCGTAGCGGGACCGGGTGGGCTCCGCTATTGCGACCGGCCAGGGAATCTCCAGCTTCTCGGGCAATCAGGATTGGCAGATTGAGATAGATGCTTCTATCAGGGCTGCAGGAGGCTGCATCCCATAGCGAGACACCGAGTGAATATTATGAAAAAGAACTGTAGGTTACATCAGACAGATTTAAAAACAGCGTAAAGCAGTTTGATTTTTACATGAGATAAAGAGTTAACACCACTGCACTAAAGTCCTGCTGCAAGTTTTACATTTAGCTCAGATAATGTGAAATGATATCTATAATTTTTTAGGTTTACTCCACGATTGGTTGGTATCAGCGGCTCAGTTGAACAAAAAGATGAATCTCTGTCTTGTCTAAAAAGCCTTTTAAGATAAATCCTGTAGCAACAAAACATAAAACTGATCAAAATGCAAACCTTTCATTTGAAGATATTTATTCAATAAAGGTTTTGTTTTCATTCAGCGTGCAAGTGGAGAGCTACTTTACTAGGCTGCAAAGTTGGCCCTATATGCACAATTCCTCCACAGTGCCTTTATGTAGGCATAAGGTGATTTTCCACACATTCATTGTTTGACATCTCTCCACCCACCTTTAGTCTTTGCTGCTTCAAAGCTCAAATTTAGATCTGAGCATCACCAGTTATTCTGGTGCTTTTTATAGATTTTGTTAAACTCTATATGTTCACGTTTGTGAGGACAGGAGAAAGAAAGACCTTTCCTAGGAATCCTCACAACCAGTTTGTCATGCAGAATGCATCTAAGGGATGTTTATAGATGATAGGGCAAGTTTCCCTCTGGTGACCAGTGACTTCACAGGTTTTTTAAGGGCACAGTATCCAGAGATTAAAGTATTCCGGCCACAGGGGGGTTTCCGGCTCGTAGCGATTGCCTGTGGGTAAAAAAAAAGGAGTGAAGGAGCACCCTGAAACTAACAGTGTTAGCCAAACAGAAGAAGAAGGGTGTGGGTCTTAGGAAAGTGTGAACCTTCTCCTCTTGCTCAAGTCACCAGATAGATTGTGATACAGTGCTATACGTAAGTTCTACACAGAAAGTCACCTTTTTTTGGTTTATGGCTCCATTCAACAAAGAGACGTGTTAAAAGTCAAATAATACGTAAATTAAACTTCGTGTTTGGAGAAAAGGACAATAGAGTGAACAGACTTGCATGGAGTGGGCAGAATGCGGTTCATGAACTTTGGCACGCTGTGCTCCAGGAAGCTTATTTACGCATCCAGAGGCAAAAAGGTTTTACGCAAACATGAATTAGACCCTGGTCATCAAGGCGCTGTTCGTGCGGTCGCACACACTACACGTTTGCCGGTAGTTACGCCAACAGCTGATTTACCAGCGTCAGTACCGGAGCATGTATGCGAGTTAAAAATAAGGATTTAGGCTTTCCTCACTGAACACGACCTCTCATTCACTCTAGATATAGAGGCAGTTTTGTCACCTTCGGGTCGTTTTTGGCATTGGATTTTCAAAAGTCTAATTGAGTCTGCAATCATTCATGCAATCTCTGATCCCATCCACTGTTCGGTTCGGTTCACGGTTTCGTGGTCACTGTTTTCGGTTCGGTTCGGTATATGTTGATTGTTAGCCTGACATGTTGGTCATGTTGCTGTTAGCATAAACAAAACGTGTTGCACAATGCTTGCATACTGTTGCACTTTTATCCACAACTTTCTTTCCGCCGTCATCGTAGGTCGCTCTAAATGCAAAGTGGTCCCATACAGCAGACCTATAAAGTGCTGCTGGCGCGTCTTCCAACTCCTGTTCTTTCCCACTCGCCATTCCGACACAATTCTCCACAACTGATTTTTTTCTGCTACACCCGGCTACGCTGCTTCGCTTCTTCTTCTTGTTTACTACTGGTGTTTGGCTTTGGTTGCAGTACCGCCACCTTCCGCTCTAGCGTGTAAACGCTTCGCCTATGAGAAAAAGGAGCAGCGCATGAACCGAACGAAACACACGCAAACCGAACTGAGACAGTCGAACCAAACGGTTCGGACGGTTTTCATAAACCGTTCCATCCCTAATAAATATATATATATATATATATATATATATATATATATATATATATATATATATAAGTTATTTAACTTTTTATTCCCAGGGCAGATGTGAGGTCTCTCCATTTGTTGAAAACTGCACCAATAATTGCTCTCATCGTATTCTGTCACCGATCAGACTCATATTTTGCCCTTTTCATCACAGTAGAGCGGTCATGCCCAAAGTCAGTCCACTAGAGCTAAAGTCCTGGAAGTTTTCAATGTTCCTCTGCTTTAATACACCTGATTCAGTCTGTTAATTAGCCATAAATGGAAACCAGCAGCACTGAAGCTATTAACTATTAACTTTTAAAAAACCTTTGCACCTGTGATGGAGTTGGAGAGGCGCATCTGGCCGGTCTTTATGATCCGTCTTGAAAATCAGTCGTCCGTGTGCTCTCGCTAATATGCCAGCGCTAGCAGAGACTCAGCGTGGGAGCAAGGTGAAGCAGACCGGGCAGCACGTCACACCAACAGACACCCCAAAAAATTCAACCTGAATCATTTCTCATTGTAAATGTAATTATGAGGGCTTGAGGCTGGAGATTAGCTTGGATATTTGTCAGCCTCCAAAAAACCCTGTAGTTGGATCAACTGCAAAGTTAAGGTCCTGAATTCATAGATGCTCATGTATACTAGGCAACCGTAATTTTGGAATAAGTTTATTTAATATAAAATATCCCCCCCATCTTTTTTCTTCTTAAGGAGGTGCAGATGTTTAAAGTGTAGTTTGTCATAAAGGACGCAAATGACTTGCTGTTATGCATCTGCCTCTTTTTTTTTTTAAATGAAACTGATTTTTTTCTCCCGCATCTCTCTACAGGGGACCCCAGAGTTTGTGGCTCTGTCTCAGTGTGTGCATTACTTTGAGTGGAAAACCTACGCTGCCTGCAGGAAAGACAAATTCAAGCCACACAAAGAGGTACGTTCTGGGAGTCCCAATCGGTGGTGGGCTCGTAGGTTTCTGAGTAAAAAGGAAACAGTCACCACATCCTCAGCAGAAACAAACAGTCAGATGATAGAAACTAGACCTTCCAATTCCATAAAGCACCGAGGTTTGCAGTGTGTAGCAGAGGCACTGTCACATGCTGTTACACTGGTAGGGTCTGAGAGGGGGTGTGAAATTAATTTAGGATGCTTTTCTGCAGATTATCTACTTCTTTTTAAAGCTGTTGTGAAAAGTCCAGTTTTTTCACATTGGATTATGTTAACAGTCTCTTTCTAAATGGTTTTTAATTGACCTCTTTCCTCTAATTCTCCACACCATACCCCATTATGACAATGTGGTAGAAAGAGTTGCTGAGACAGGTACAAATGATTAAACTTAGAGAGCTGAGATTTCACATATTTTAATAAAATATAACTTTGCCAAGAGGTGCATACTGTTTCCACTAATCATCCTGGAGGTATTTCTACATTTTTAGTCCCACCTGTGAAAAATTCAGCTGACATAATGGGGAAAGGCACATGCCTATCTATGTAAGGTCCCCCCCCGGTGACGTTGCCTGTCTAAATGTAAATCAGGGAAAGGATACAGAACCCTTTCTGGTGCTTTAAAGCAGTGTTTCCAAACCTGAGGTACTTGTACTCCTTGTGGCCTGCAAGTGCATTGCAGGCGATATATGAAAATATTTTATTTCTTAAGTTGTAAAATAAAGCTTTCTGAGGATCTAACTGAAAAATGAACCAAGCTTTTATCAACCAAAATGGAAGTTTTTCTTATGTGTTTGAGTTCACCTTCAGCTTCGACACACATCCAAACCAAGCAGAGGAACAGACTGGATGCAGAGAACTGCCTGTTATCAGCTGTTTTTCACATTGAGATATCAAAGCTCATCAAAGCAGCTCAGGTTTCTTGATGAAAACCAAGTAAAACTAATTAAGTCTGTCTGATTATAAATCTTGTTCTCCATTTTGTTTCCAGTTTATGAAGTTTAAATGTGATTATACTCAGAGAAGCTCCTGTTTTATAAATACAGGTTTATAATATAATTTAATTTATATTTATTTAAATTCCTTAATATCCTCCAGGCAGCATACTTATGTCAGTTTTATTTATTTGAGATAAATAAAATTATAAAAATGAAATGCTCAATTTAAAAGATTTCAGTTATTGTATGTTCCACTTTGGAACATACTAATGGTACGAAAAATGCCCAAAGGGGTACACAAGTCAAAATATGTTGGGGAAACGCTGCTTAAAGGTCCCAGTGAGCCCACTGGCCTCCATCTTTGGTAAAAAGGAGAAACTTGGAACCAGCAGGACTCATTTTTAGATTCAGGAAGGTGACCAAGAACCCCATGGTGTCTCTGTCGAAGCTCCAGTTGAGAACCTTCCAGAAGGACATCCACCTCTGGAGGAATTCATCAATTGGGCCTGTAAAGAAGAGTGGCTGGAAGAAGGTGATCATTGATAAAACAGCACATTCCAGCCTGAATGGAGTTTGCCAAAAGACTCTAAAACCATGAGAAAAAACATTTCTGTTCTGATGAGACAAAGATGGAACCCTTTGATGAGAATGCCAAACACCATGTTTGAAGGAAACCGGGCACAACTAAAGGAAGTTGCTTCACTACACTAAAGTATGGCAGTGGCAGCATTATACTATGGGAAAGATTCAGCAGCAGGAACTGATAGACTAGTTGGGATAGAGTGAAAAATTAATAGAGCGATGTAGAAAAACATCCTGAATGGAAATCTTCTTCTGACACGTTTCAGCAGTGGATCAGAACCGATCTGTGAATTTCCTGACTGAGGCAGCAGAATCAGTTCTGCAGAGGAGGAGAAATCAAACTGTTTAAAGAGTTCTGATAAGCTTATGGCATCTTAATCAAAACATTTAAGGCTGTAACTGATGCAAGAGGTGGATTAACAAAGTATTTATTAAAGCTGGGACTACTTCTTTTTAATCAGATTTTTATTATTTTTAGTGTTCTGCAATGCTTGTAGAATTTAAAGGGAGGTTATAAATTTTTTAACATTTACATTATGAATATTAAGTAATATATATAAGGTGTGGGTGACACATTTATGGTTTTGTAAAAGATTTAAAAACTGGGTTGAACTTTAGCAAAATGTAGGAACCCAAAAAAATGAGTTAACCTCGTATTATCTTGCCCTCATGTATTTTATTTGTTTTTTATCAGTATTCTTTAACATGACATGCAGCACAGGCCTGTTTCTGGGAAGTGGTGTATTAATGTTGCTGCTGTGTCCAGGTGCCCTGCTTCGTGTTCGACTCTGACGGCAAGAAGCACGACCTGAACCCTCTGATCAAAGTGAGCGATGGTTATCTGGTGGACGACGGCGACGAAAGCACTGACTTTTATATCAACGTCTGCCGAAGCCTCAGTGAGTTATGTTTATATGTGGTCTACTGCATTTCAGGGAAAAGAATTAGGAAACAAAATGATTGAAAAGAAAAATCTGTGATTTTATAAAATAATAGTGGGTCAGATGTTTTTCTGATCACTTTCTTAAATGTAACATTTGGATAATATAAGACTGGGTTCAAAACTTCACAATAGGCATAACTGATCACTTTAACCACATCCCCTGTTGTAAAAAACCTGGTAAAGGGCTGGTTATAGTCCTGCAGCAGTGAGCATGACGCAGACATTTTTGATTTATGCTCAATTTTGAAGCGTGGTCTGCGCTATGTTTATTCCATGCCACAATGCAAGAGGTACAATCATGAACTAGCTGGAAGGAAGCGGGGGGCAACTTTGTCCGACAACAGAGGGACATGAGGGTGAGAAAGAGCAGGGATCCAGGTGGAAAAAGGTTCCTAGCATTCTCACGCACCTCGATCTTCTAACTGGTCCAACTTCACGAGTTGTTTTCCGCAAATGCGGTATATGAAGTGTTGGCTGCTGGGCCGCGGGGTTGGCTGCTACTTCGATTGCGCAGACAACAAGAAAGAGCCGGGTGTGGGGAGGACGTTGCTTGTGAAACCTGTGCGTATCTGTTGGAAGCGATGCTCTGCTGAAAGAGCGTTCCAGGCGACTGGTTGTTGCAGACAGCGAGCTGATTGGTTTATTCAGAAAAATAAGCCGATAAGTTTACTCTCTGATAGTCACCTAGTTACCACTCACTGTACACTGTAGCTGACCAAAATCCTGGATGATTTTCAAATTCCCCTCCGACATTTTTTTAGATATCAAAAGTAGGACATGTCCGGGAAAAGGAGGACGTCTGGTCACCCTACCATATCAACAATATCATATCAGTGAGTGAGTGCTTGTTGCTATGATGCGTCTTTGCTCAGCAGCTTTGCTTGTTGTAAACCAGCCAATCAGAGCACAGCTCATCTAAATATTAATGATGATACCATAACAGGAAGAAAACCTGTGGTTTCATTCTAGGGCTTTTAACCAGGCTGGCATTAGGGCACATAGAACAGCAAATATGCCATTGTCAGCCCAACCAATGTTACACACCCTATTCAGAGACCTTAAGGACCAGCACCAAATTAGCCTCGTGAGACCATCCTGACCTCGCGAGCTTTCAAGGTTTCATTCGCAGATCAGTCTGGAGACTCTCCGTTAAAGAAAATTTTGAGCCATTCACCAAACGAACGTCCAATCAGCGTTGGCTTTGAGGCGGTTTGAGGTGTGACGCAACGAGAAAGTGCGACAGTTCAGTCTAAACAACATGGCGGCTTCAGCCGATGAAACTAGTGTTAGCGTGGCTATCGAGCAAGTTTTATCGGAATTACAGAGTATTTCTTCACTGAAAGAAGAGCAAAACACTGCTCTGGAGGCTTTTCTCAGAGGAAAAGATGTTTTTGCTCTTCTCCCGACTGGTTTCTGCAAGAGTAGCCTGGCTTGTGGTTGTGTTTTCGTCGTCGCTCTGTTAGTACGTCATATGCTTCGTTGATCTGATTGGTTTATTTGGCCCGTCTATCACCAACATAGGCCAACCAGCTAACCAGTATTTTCACCCCTTCCCAAAATTACTTCAACGGAAGTTTCTAGATGGATATGCCGAGCAAATCCATCTGGCGGAGTCAGGTTAGCACCAAATACCATATAGAATCATTCTATGACCCCTTTAAAGGGCTTGTACAGATTTATATATTGAGTAAGTTTTTTCTTTTTTTTAAGAGTCAACATTTTAAACTCTGTGAAACCTACAATAAACTTAAAAACTGGGTTTAATTTAGTTTATTTCACACGACCAATGTCACACTCTTAACTATCAGGAAAAAACATACAAACAAGCAAAAAAACTGAAAACAAAAGCTGCTTCATCCACCATACTCGAAACATAATTAATATCCCACTTACTTAAAAAGAGAGCTATACTTTTTATCAGCTTAAAAATCTGAAATACAATATTTTGTTTTGATGGGAGAAATCTGTCATTTAAATTTTTGAGACATTGATAAACATATTTATAGATTTTTTTTATCACTAAACAGAAGTTTAGTTAAATTCTTTTATTTTTTTCCCGTATTTCTTTTCTGAGTATCGCATATTTATATATGTCATACTTGTTTTTTTTTCTTCTTCTTCTTCTTCTTTTTTTTTTTTTTTTTTTTTACTATCAAATAATATTACACTAATAGTTTAATACTTTATCCCCTTAAAGGAATAGTACACCCAAAACATGATTAGCCTTCATTTTCCACTCACCCCCATCCTGAACAACACTCTGGAGTACTTTTTTGATATCTCAAATGCATCTGGAGATCTGGGAGGCTTCTTGCTGTCTGCTGACATTCAAATAATGGAGGTCTATGGTGCCCGAGACAGAAAGGTCCATAAAAGTCCACAAAAAACGTGTCAATATTCCTCCATACTGCTCGTCCAATGTATTCCAAGTGTCCTGAGTGGGTAGCGTCCATAATTTACTCGAAACAAAGTCATTTAGAATGTTTTTAGAGCATAAACAGGAGTGTATAGGATTTCCTAAAAGCGCGTTCACGAGTCTACGGAAACCGCGGCAGACCAAACCAGATGAAAGTGCGCATTCAGCGTCTGCTCTGCCGATAATGCAAGCGTAGAAGAAGAAATGTGCTGTTTACCTGTGCAAAGAAAGAAACAACGAAAGAAAAATGTCTGAGGACTTCAGTGTTGAGGAAGAGCATGAGTTCTTTGCCGAGCTGAATGCGCACTTTCATCTGGTTTGGTCTGCCGCGGTTTCCGTAGACACGTGAACTCGCAGGCGTGCGCGTTTAGGAAATCCTGTACACTACTGTTTATGCTCTAAAAACATTCTAAATGACTTCGTTTCGAGTAAATTCTGGATGCTACCCACTCAGGACACTTGGAATACATTGGACGAGCAGTATGGAGGAATATTGACACGTTTTTTGTGGACTTTTATGGACCTTTCTGTCTCGGGCACAATAGACCTCCATTATTTGAATGTCAGCAGAAAGGCAAGAAGCCTCCCAGATCTCCAGATGCATTTGAGATATCAAAAAAGTACTCCAGAGTGTTGTTCAGCATGGGGGTGAGTAGAAAATGAAGGCTAATCATGTTTTGGGTGTACTATTCCTTTAAGGAAAATAATCAACCCTTCTGAACTCCTTTTAATCAATGTGAGAATAATCAGTGTTACAAACAAGGCTGGTGGGACTTTTAGTACTAGTGTAAATGATGAGTTTATCAGCTGCTTTTCAAAGTGAGCTGATCACATCGATGACCTCTGATATATCTGACCCTCACCTCTGTGCTCTCCTCCAGACTCTCTATCTACATCCTGTCCAGAGGACTCTGCAGCCTGCCTCATCACCAAAGATGGCTCTTTCAGCATGGGCGCCCCCACCAGGCCGCTGGAGGCGGTGTCCAGTGACAGGTGACCTTTTTTGTCCATGCAAAACCTCAATGCATTAAGTTCTGCTGTTTGTTAAAACTAACAATGAAAGTATTTTCCATGGATTGACTACAATTCCTGTTGTCTTATCTCCCGTCCAGTTTGAGGTTACGGTATGAATTAAGTGCCGACTCGACGCCTCCAGAGAGATGTGGACAACACCGGCCCACCGTCACCATCACTTTCATCTGTCCATCAAACAGACATTTGGTTTGTCAGACCACTAAACCTTCTAACTTATCAGCTGTTAATCTGGTTTTCACATTTCTAGATGATTCCTAATTCTTCTTTCTCATTTCAGGGCAGCACCCCTAAGATGGTTGCAGAGTCGAACTGCCGGTATGAGGTGGAGTGGGTGACTGAATATGCCTGTCACAGAGACTACCTGGAGAGTCATAGCTGCAAACTGACCAGTGAACAGCATGACGTCTCCATCGACCTCACACCTCTCACTCTGAGCTGTAAGTGGTTCCACCTCTGAACCAGCGCACTTTTACTTTGTTATAGACCAATCCAACTGTTGTTTAATACATCCAAAAATCTTTCATGTAAAACCAAAATATATAATTATCCGTAAAACATTAAAAAGTGTAAATCACATCCATCATGGTGATTCGATTCAGTATCGATTTCCTGACCCAACAATTCGATTATTTTCGATACTCAAGAATACACCACGATTCGATTAATTGGTAAATTTTTTTTTTTTTTTTTTTTTTTTTTTTTACACCTTACAGGCTAAACAAAGTTTCAAGTTTGAAATAAATCAATGAAAGCTGTAATATCATTATGCATTTTCTTTAGAAACAACAGCAAATAACAGAAGTAGAAAAGTTGCATCAAAAAATACTGCAAAAATACTGCACAATATCAGTGTAATGAGTTCAATGCAATACCTCGGCTCCAGAGAAACTGTCCAACATATTTTTTTAGAATATAATAAATATACTCAGGAAAGAGAGATGTTGCGTAGAGAGTTAGACAGGAATAAAAATAAACTAGATATAAGGGAATTGTTTCAAAGGTCATCTGGGGATGTAGTTTTTGGTAGTATTTTTAATTTTCTAAGAAGAACGGGTATTTTAGGGAGAATATAATAGTTTGTCTGGTCCATGCTCCATTCTGGAAGGTGGCGGTAATGCACCTATAAGTTGTTTGCCAACCGCCATTAAAAAAAAGAAGAAGAAGGCGGCTCCAGAGTGTCGACGTCACCGCCGCCTTGAGAGACGCTCCGCTGCACCTCTCCCAGATTGTAGCTGACCGCAAACAGTGCAGCAGACAGGAGGCCGGCTTGTTTTGTTTTCATGACCGAAATTGCAGAAAACAACTCGTGAAGTTTGACCCGCTAGAAGAGCGAGGTTCGCGAGAACGCTGGGACCCTTTTTCCAGCTGGATCTCAGCTCTTTTTGGCCCTCATGTCCCTCCGTCGTCGGACTAAACTCGCCCCCACTTCCTCACCTCCTCGGCCGTATCTAGACCCACAGCGTGTAGCACAGACCACGCTTCAATATTTAGCATAATTTTAAAATGTCTGTGTCAAGCTTACTGCAACACACTGCTATAAGGGTATAACCAGGATGCACGGTAGGAGGGCAAAATAGGTTTAGCGCCACTGCAGCACGGGAGGGAGATTTACGCCCAGGAGCAAATGGATAAAAATAGACCGGAGGGAAAAAAACATGAATCGATTCTCTTGCGGACGTGTCGATGCATCGAATCGTCGGCTGTTGGATCGATGCATCGATACAAAACCATTATTATTTACACCCCTAGCTTTCACACACACATTCACACTTCACACATAAAAACTCAAGAAACACATAAAATATTTTAAAGCAGGGTTCCAGCGGGTCCTTAAAAAGTCTTAAAAGGCATTGAATTCTTTAAAATAAAACTAAGGCCTTAAAATGTCTTAAATCAGTCTTTCGTAGGTCCTAATTTTTAAAACATCATAAATAGGATTATTTTTCTTACGATTCATTTTTGTAACTGACAGTTGTTTTGTTTTTTTATTAAAGAAAAAATAATGGCTCGCCATCATTGGTTCCGTCCCGATAGCAGAACCAATTAAAGCGTTGTTGCGGCCGGGACATTTGGGAGATACGCCATTAACTTTTTGTCTAGAAAATATGAGCAAGTGTAAATGTAACTAAAATTAAATTATTAATATGAAAACTAAAAGTGTAAAAGACATAAAAAGATGATTAAAGGAAAAAAGATTTTCCCTATTTATCATCAAATCTTACCTCCCAAACTTGATTTTTTTATTTTTTTATTTATCTAAGAACAAATTGACAGGATTCCCAGGATTTTGCACTTGTAAGCAAATAAATATTGAATATGTTAGCATTTCCAGACTCCGTCTTTTCTTTTTGTCAGTATCATTAAAGCTACAGTGTGTAATAATTACAGGGATATACAGTCAGAAATGTAATATATTATACATAACTATGTTATTTATCATCATCTACAAGCTCAGCCTCTTAACCTTAATATTTGCGTTGCCTTAGAATTCGTTATTTATAATTACATAGGAGCGGGTCTCGCAGCCATGGAGGCAGACATTTTTGCGCTACGGCAGCGCAGACCCAACAAACTAGTGATTGCGAGATCGCCAAAACGTCACAACGATGTAGAAAAAATAACGGGTATATTTATTATCTTAAGTCTACATGAAATCTATACCCTACACAGACTAATGAAATACTATCTGTAAAATTATCTATGTAAACAAACCTCATCGTAACGCTCGCCGTACTGTTGGGGGGGAGAAGCGGTCGGGGGGAGATGTTCATGTTACTGCAGTCTGCAGTCTGACCGCTAGATGTCGCTAAAAGTTACACACTGTAGCTTTAACTAACAAAAACAAACTTAAGTTTTCTTGTTGGCTTTAAATGTCAGATTAACATAGAGCTCATCTATCCATGCCTTCAAATTCTGGATGTTTAACCCTTTAAAGCCCTAAGAATAAAACAAAACAGAAAATTACTTTTTTTTTTGTTTGAAGTCCTTATTTGGCCTTTTAACAAAATATGTAAAAAGAAAAAACAGAAATACATTTTTGATATTAATAATTTATTACTATGCGATAAGTCAAGATTATTTTTTGTGTAGTCTTCTACCCTCTGTTATCAGGTATATCTGATTGTGTACAATAGGATTTTGAGCAAAGTTTTTACCATTAAATTATGCAAAAGGTGTCAGACTCAAAACATTTCAGAAACCGTATGTATTAAATATGATACATTTGGCATTACAGGGTTAAGTCTGGAAACTATTTAACTTTGACTCAGAATATGGAGAATAAGGAACCTTGCTGTTGATGAATTTACTGACTAAAAATGGTTTGAACTTTAATGCATGTGATGAACTTGACATGTAATACCAAAAAAAAAATGATTGAAATGATGAGAAACTATTAAATTTAGAACAAATAAGACCAAATTAATTACAATTAAAAGTAACATGAAATACACCACTGACAAGAAACTAAGTAGTATTTCAATAATGGTATAAGTCCAAATATTAAAGTGTTCATGTGAATCATGAATCATTTGATTATGGAGTTTAATATGAGATGATCATGTCTGGCTGAACCTTTAAATGCTGCTCGTTTTGTGTTTTAAGCTTTAGACAGACCCTACGTCTTCCAGTCTTCATCCAGCGAAGACCCTGAGAACTACATCTATTACCTGAACGTTTGTGGGAAGATTCCCACACAGGAATGTGGGGACGACCCTTTTATCTCGTCCTGCCAGGTGAAGAGCTCTGCAGACACCCACAAAGTGGCCGGGAGATTTCAGAACCAGACGTTACGGTAATATTTGTCTCTTGTGTCCCATTGTCTGGACTGTTTACACTAGAACTAAACCAAAGATCTATCATTTTCTACATCAGGGGTTTTCAACCTTTCTCAGTCTCAGATTCTCCTGATTCACAACAATTAAGAGCTCTTTTCTAGATCAGAAATATAGAAATGTATTTTTGTACCTTTAATAATAGGTTTTAAGCTGTTATTACTGCAAATTAAAATGTCTAGTATGAAACCCAAAGTTAAAAACACTTATTTGCAGAGCCAGAGATTTGGGTTTGCATAAGAACAAAAAGGTGTTTGAGACGATTAACATGTCCTTAGAACCGCTATGTCCATGGGATGGTAAAAGGTAGTAAATAAACTAAAATTTAAGGCAATTAGAAAGCATTAAAACATCTTTTTTTAATGACTGCCTTGGTTAGCATTATTTTTTCTACCATTTAAGTTATTACAGAATTTAACCTAGTTTACATTATGGGGTGTACAATTTCAGCAGAGGTCTCCGGTCTGCTGATCAAATGATTCTAGGCATGCCCAGATCCCGGTATAAACAGTTTTTACAGCAGTTAAACTGTGGAACAGCCTGCCCCATCAGTCTGTGGGTTCTCACAGATCCGCCCCTTTTTAAGTCCAGATTAAAGACTTTTTTTTTTTTTTTTTAATACTTACAACACGCTGTTAAATGCTTAGGATTTATGTATTTTTTACAATGTTTTAATCTTTCACTGAAGCACTTTGGTCTTCCTGGTGTTGTTGTAAAGGGCTATACAAATAAACTTTGATTGATTTTTGTAATTTTTTCTAGGGATGCACGATATTGGGATTTTGGCCGATATCCAATATGCTGATATTTTAAAACTCATGTAGCCGATAACCGATATCGATACCGATGTTAAAGCTGGACAAAAATAAGTATTCATTGAAAAAAGCAGTTTTGTTATCTATTTCTGACACTTTGAAAAATAATATACTCAAATATATTTTCATATGCTGATATCAAATAGATTTTTAAAAACGCGGTATCGATCTATTTTACTTTCAAAATCTTGTGAAATTTCATCATTCTGTTACAAACTCTCGTGATATTTTGTAAATTCTTGTGAGATTTTGTTAGTAAAATAGATCGATACTGCGTCAATATATCAACATATAAAAATATGGCAAAATTTTGTGAATTTTCTGGGGATTTCGTAGCATAACGATGACATATAGCAATATTTCATTAGTAAAAGAGATTGATATGGTGTTTTTAAATGGCAATATATCAGCATATGAAGATATTGTGATATTTTAATGTATCAATATTTTTTCCCTCGTCTTTAGAAGTTTTTAAGTCTGTAAAAAAGAAGTTTTTGAGGAAGAAGTAGTATTTTTATTTTTTTTTTAGACTTTAGAAACTCAGAAGCTGATCAAATATCGGGTTAAATATCGGTGGGGTGGCCGATGTCCGATATTCAGTTTTAAGGCCGATACAGGCCGATACCGATAAGGGGCCGATTATATCGTGCATCCCTATTTTTTTCATGTGAGAAGGACCTGAGATGATAGTGAGGTAAAGACATCTGTCATCGTTCAAAAACGAAACCTGACTGTGGTCCTACTGAACAGCGTTAAGCCCCCACATACAGACATGTCAGTAAACATCTGCATGGAGCCCAAGCCGGCTGACACAGTGCTCAGAGCGGCCATTCCCAACTATAATTCATTTATTACTTTTTTCTAAAGTCTAAAGGCAAACTTGTTGGACGGAGCCATGCCATTCTGGGAAATGAAGAGATTTGTTATGGGAAATCAAGAAACTTGCAGCTTGATGATTAGTCCAGCAGCGTGGGTGTGGATAACTCCATAATTAGATACTCCCAATTAAAGCTGAAATGTTTCACCACAGTTGCAGCTCAGTCATGTTAGCATCAAGAAACATTGTGAAAGAATTATATGTGGTTCATTTTTTTTGTTATGCATTTCTGTTTGTATTGTTTTATCACACAGCCCTTTGAGATTTTCTTGGATTTAGAGTTCTTTAGAAATAAAGATAATATTAATAAATCTGCACTTACTCACATGAGTAGCCAACTCTCTGTTAAACTTCCTTTTCTGCTGTCGTTTGCTCCTCTGCAGGTATTCAGATGGAGACCTCAGTCTGATTTATCCCGGTGGAGATAAATGCTCCTCTGGCTTCCAGAGAATGACCATCATTAACTTCCAGTGTAACAAAACAGCCTGTGAGAAAAACATTTATTTCCAAGTTCCTGTTAAATCATTTCATTTGTTAAGCACTTACTTGTTTTTAAACTTTTGATTTTACCTTTATCATTAAGGCATGCAGTTATACTGTTTAAAGGAGAAAAATACAAACCAATCCAATTTCTTTTGCCTTATGCTTAATAAGGGAATCATCTTAAATAAATTTTAGTTTAAGGTGTTTTATATGACAAATTGGCGAATATGACTTCTTAGAAGTAAATATTTAATTGATAAAAATGTTTAATGAGGTGAATTAAGTTAATTTCCTTGGTCTTCTGCAGCAAACAATGGTCATGGGACTCCAGTTTTTGCCGGGGAGACAGATTGTACGTATTATTTTAACTGGGATACAGCGTTTGCTTGTGTCAAAGAGAAGGAGGATCTGCTTTGTCAGGTCAGAGATGGCAGCAAACACTACGACCTCTCCCGCCTTACCAAGTACCCCGGTGAGTTTCTTTTCATACCTTTTTGAAAAGGCCCACCTCACTTAGGCATTCTGGGGAATTTTTTCTGCCAAATTAATAGTACAGATAATTTTTTGAAATAATGTGTTTCTTCCCATGTTTAAATGTTTCTTTTTAATAAATATTCTCAATTTTGCATAAAACAAACCAAAAAAAACTTCTTTTAAAGTGTCTAAAAATGTAAGGGATAATTTCAGACCTGATCTATTGTGTCGAGGGAAAGTATCTGTGTCCATAGAGGATCAGTTGCATTTTTGCTGCCTCTCTGCGCATATAGCAGCTGATTTCTGTGTTTCTTCCAAGACATCTAACTGGCTAAACGTTATAGTAAATTATTAATATGAAAAAAATCTGACATTTAGCATAACAACTATTAACTTCGATCTGAAACAAAACATTTTACAAAGCAGTTTTTTTGGCATCATTCATAATTTCTTTAAAAATTTGCTGTATAAAAAAAAAAAATCCCCTTTCTCTGCGTTTTTTTGCTTTGCTTCAGAGTCAAATGACAGCGACAACTGGGAGGCGGTGGGTGAGCGAGCTACAAAATCAGACATGCGCTACTACCTGAACATCTGCCACAAAGTGCTGAAGCGAGGAGGAGCCGCTAACTGTCCAGAAGACGCTTCCTTCTGTGCTGTGGGTAAGAAATCCACTTTTCTGATGAACCATAAACCTACCAACATGTAATCTACTCAGTATACATGTTGATTTATGCTTATTTATTTTACCTGTTTTTTATTTTTCCCTGTTTTTAGATAAGAATAATAAGAGCATCAGCTTGGGCAGCTTCCTCTCTCCTCCTCAGATGACCAAACAGGGGAATGACATCAGACTGCTGTATACTGACGGGACGACCTGTGAAAACAAGAAGACTAGGACCCAAACTATTGTGACCCTCAAGTGCAAACCAGGTAACCTGACTCTGCCAGATGGATTTGCTCCGCATATCCATCTGGAAACCTTCCGTTGAAGTAATTTTGGGAAGGGGCGAAAATACTGGTTAGCTGATTGGCCTATGTTGTTGAGAGAAGGGTCAAATAAACCAATCAGATCAACGAAGCATATGACGTACTAACAGCCAGGCTACTCTTGCCGAAACCAGTCAGGAGAAGAGCAAAAACATCTTTTCCTCTAAGAAAAGCCTCCAGAGCAGTGTTTTGCTCTTCTTTCAGTGAAGAAATACTCAGTAATTCCGATAAAACTTGCTCGATAGCCACGCTAACGCTAGTTTCATCGGCTGAAGCCGCCATGTTCTTTTGACTGAACTGTCGCGCTTCTCGTTGCGTCACACCTCAACCCGCCTCAAAGCCGACGCTGATTGGACGTTCGTTTGGTGAATGGCTCCAAATTTTCTTTTTTAACGGAGAGTCTCCAGACTGATCTGCGAGTGAAACTTTGAAAGCTCGCGAGATCAGGATGGTCTCACGAGGCTGCAAACCAGGTAAAGTGGGCAAAGATTGACCTCACTAAACACTTTGCTGATGATGTGAAAAAGAGATGAGAATGAATAAAGAATAAATCTGATTTTAGTTGATTTCAAAAATGACATGACCCGTATCATCTTTCTGTTTTTAAAAAAATCTATTCTTACAGGACATCTTGAGAGTCCTCCGATACTTCGCAGCGTTTCCTCTGATGAATGCCTTTATGAGTTGGAGTGGTACACGGCTGCTGCCTGCATCCTCTCAAAGACAAAAGGAGACGACTGCAAGGTGGAAGACCCCCAGGCTGGTAAGGGTTAAACACAAGTCTCCTATATTTAAAGCCTAATGTTGCTCAATTTGTGCAATAACTTTACTTTTGTCTCTTTTTGGATTTATCAATCAATTCATTGGATCCAAAAATGATGTAAAAGACATTTTTGCCATTTAGGTTTTTTTTATAAAATAAGTTGGCCTCTTTATTCTTTAACCAGATAGTTTTAGGCTACTAGAACTGTCCATGAGTTTCAGGCCAAATCTGATTTCTACATTTCTTTGGGCAAACATTAGGCTTCAATGCACATTTTAGAAGACATTAATTAATAAAGCCTCGTGATCTAATAAGAATTTAAAATGGAATGACCCATCAAAGCAAACTCAAATCTATAGTTAAAATATAAGAAATTGAAGTTTTAGAACAACATGTTCTAAATGTTATTCATTTTAAAACCAAACCTTCTGATTTTCAGGGGAAAAGTTTTTTGTCACTCACTTTTTCAAAGTCACAGTTAATGTACAGTTTTAAAAACACATCCCTGTAGTAGTAGATGTCATGATGTAAGAATGTAGCCCCAATTTTTTACATTATAAGTTTTTTTTTTAATAGTTTTTTTGTAATTGTTTTTGGCATTATACACCTTGTCCAGGAACAACAGTTGAAAACTGTTAGCTAATTCTGACACATTTACAGAAATGTTTAATTAATGTGTACTGTCCCTGACAATTAAACAAATAAATAAAAATAAGTTATGTGTATACAAAAACTGTGCTTAGTATTTCCAGTGTGTGTCATCTGTGAGAGAACCTAAACCAGTGTATCACAGGGGTGGATGTTTGAACCTACTGTTGATCTTTTCTGGCTTTAGCGTCCCTCAAATCCTGGCTTATCACTGCCCCCTGGTGGAGGAGGCAGTGATGACACTTTCTGTTAGCTTTTTCAGAGCTATAGTTTCAGGTTTTTCGATGCAGTCTGTGAAGCTTAGCAATTTTATTACATTAATTTTCAGTTTTTTTTTTAAAAGGCTGGGAAAAATGTGTCTAATGTTTATTTTTAAAGATTTATGTTTCAATTTGTCTAACTATTATAACATCCTCACCTATTCAGCCAGGCCAACAATTCCCTTTAACGACCCCCTTTCAGAGACATAGACAGGTATGGGGTATTGCAGGCTACAAAAAAAGAAGCCAAATGACCCCCATTCCAAAGAGGTGTATGGAAGTAATTCTGTGTCGCTGGGATTTGAATTAAAAATGCCACTGACATTTAAATGTTGTATGTTTGTACTTACTGTTTCAGTGTTAAAATATATTCAGAACACATTTTTGACCTAAAAAAAATTGTCATTATTTCTACACAGTTGAAATTTAATTTGTTATTTTCTCTTCAAGCTAAAAATTCACATTACTATTTCAAAGTGATTACATTTTCAATACTTATTTTTCAGTTCAATTTTTCAGTGTTAAAAAAATCTGCATATAAAAAAATTCAACCTTTCAAAATTCAAACTTAATATTTTCAGCCTCCTGAGATTCAACTGGCTCTATTTCGCTGTTTTAAATTCGGCGTCTAAATTCAGTGTAAAAAGGGAAGGGTTACTTCAGGTCACAGACATTAGCAATGGATTGTGGCGTCCAACACCCAGCCAATCCCGTTACGTTTTCTTAGTCACGTGACGTGACGCTTGTGGCGCTCATACTGAAGGAAAACCAGCATCACGGACCCGGTCATGCAAGCTAACGCTAACTCAACGGTGAGTTTATTATTTTCATTTTTCTGTAGTTGAGTTAGCGTTAGCTTGCATGACCGGCTCCGTGATGTTGGGTTTCCTTCAGTATGAGCGCCACAAGCGTCACATCCAGTGTTGTGCCTGAACGCGTTCATTGAACGAAAGTTCCTGAACTCGTTCATATTTTGGGCGAACGTGAACTGAACGTACTGTATTACTGCCAGATGAACGTTATTGTGAACTCGTTCATTCTGGTGTCTGTGAACGGCAAGCTCTCTCAGTTCAGCTCCGTTCAATAGGTTGCCAGATTTCTATAGAGTCCTCCAGGTGAAACCCCAGCTAAATAACACCGTAAACAGGCCTTAATATGTAGCGGGAAAAACACCCAATCTGGCAACACCAGCTACCAGTGTCGTAGCCTACAGCCGCGTGCGTCATCAAAACAAAATGCAGTGTAGAAGCCGCAGCAGCATGGAGGCGACCGTGGAGGCGACAAAGCAGCAGTATGATCACTTAAAACAGTTTTATGACCAGGTGGTCGGTGAGGATGATGGCAACATCTTACATTTCTCTGCAAACTTTGCCCGCCGGCTTTCAGTAAAAAAATCCGCACTTAAACCTGCCTGGTATAATTTTCCAGGATTCCAGTATTCCTTTTTAGTATGTATTGAAATGGAATTTCAAATGGAAAAAAAAATTAAACATTTGCACCTTAAAGACTACTTTCCTGTTTTTCTTTTAATAATTCCTCATAAAAAAGACCATTCAAGCAGCACATTTTTCCTGATGTTTTTGAGAATATACTGTAGGGGTGAAAGCTGCAGCTGCTACTAGTGTGAAGTGAATGGACAGCAACAAAGCGTTAAAGGGATAGTTCGGTATTCTTGACATGAATCTGTATGACATCCCCATCACCAGTGGCATGCAATCACACTGACTTACCCCTGGCAGCATCCTGTGAGCAGAGTTATCGTCCAGTTTTGGTCAAGCCGAAAGTAGTCCGGCAGGTTTTTAGGAACAGCGAAATAAAACTTTTCTCTTCCCAAAACATTATGTGTTCAAAAGAGCGATATTTTTGCATCCCAAAAACATTGTAGTGGAAAAAGTCACACGTCGTTATCAATTGGTCCTATTTTCTCTCTGTTCGTATCAGTGCGCGCCGTCATTCAGACAGCGAGAACCTGACAACAGCCATGTCTCCCTCCGCCTAGCTGGGCGGAGGGAGACATGGCTGTTGTTGAGCTAGCTGTCTGAATGACGGCGCGCACTGATACGAACAGAGAGAAAATAGGACCAATTGATAACGACGTGTGACTTTTTCCACTACAATGTTTTTGGGATGCAAAAATATCGCTCTTTTGAACACATAATGTTTTGGGAAGAGAAAAGTTTTATTTCGCTGTTCCTAAAAACCTGCCGGACTACTTTCGGCTTGACCAAAACTGGACGATAACTCTGCTCACAGGACGCTGCCAGGGGTAAGTCAGTGTGATGGGGATGCCATACAGATTCATGTCAAAAATACCGAACTATCCCTTTAAAGCAACAATGGGGAAATGCTGTCCCCTCAATGCTAATGTAAACCCTGGTTGGATAAGGATTCAAAACTGGATATGAAGATGAAATCTGACTCACAGTTTCAGAGTTACAACTGATAAAATAATTGCTGTCTGTGGTTCTACAGTAGGCTATGGTGTAATTGAGCAATATATGAAAAAAAAAGAACTATGAACTAGTTCATTTTTTGGAACTGTGAACTTAGTTCAAAATTTTGAATTTTGAACAAGATCACGTAGAAAAAGAACTTTCCCAACACTGGTCATGTCACGTGACTAAGAAAATGTAACGGGATTGGCTGGGTGTTGGACGCCACAATCCATTGCTAATGTCTGTGACCTGAAGTAACCCCTTCCCTTTTTACACTGAATTTAGACACCAAATTTTAGACAGTGAAATAGAGCCAGTTGAATCTCAGGAGGCTGAAAATATTGAGTTAGAATTTTGAAAGGTTGAATTTTTTTATATGCAGATTTTTTTAACACTGAAAAATAAGTATTGAAAATGTAATTACCTTAAAATAGTAATGTGAATTTTTAGCTTGAAGAGAAAATAAATTAAATTTCAACTGTGTAGAAATAATGACATTTTTTTTAGGTCAAAAATGTGTTCTGAATATATTTTAACACTGAAACAGTAAGTACAAACATACAACATTTAAATTTCAGTGGCATTTTTTATTCAAATCCCAGCGACACAGATTTACTTCCATGAAGACGGACCTGTTTGTTCCTTCCTATTTGCATGTTGTTGGGCCACTTTATAAATCCTCAAACTTAACACTATTTCTGAGATTTTGAATAGAAAAAGCCTTCTGGATGGGGGGCGAAACGTCTTCAAACTTGAAAACAAAGTTGCGTGGATTCTTTTTTACTTTTTTTAGGAATATATTTGACCTGGATGACTGAGAATCTTCACCAGCATAATTTAACATTTGTTTGTTCCTCAGCCCACTGTTTAATATTCATGTTTGGCTTTCTATTCATTTATTCACTTCTTCTAGATTTGTATTTAAGGTCTCACTTCTGCCTGCTTAAAATTTAAATATCCCACATTTAATAGAATGTTTATGTGTATAATATAAGATATAAGGCATATATTAATGTAGATCTCTGTAGTCTGTAGAAAGGTTTGGACCTGGTGTTTTGGAGGCAGCAGTTTTTTTTGTTGCAGACTAGAAAATTCCTGATCTGGTTTTGGTTAACCAGATAACTCTTCAATTTTGTTAATTATTGGTTGGGAATCTCTTCTCCATCACTGACACATGTTCCTCTACAGGATTCTCCTTTGATTTGTCACCTCTAACCAAACCTGAAGGCAGCTTTTACAATGTGACCAACGGTGGTTACGACTACTTCATCAATGTTTGTGGTCTGGTCAAAGCCGCCGGGTGTCCTGAGAATGCCGGAGCATGCCAAGTGGAAAAGAGGTAAGCCACAGCCTCCAGATGTTTGCACTTATTCCAAACATCCATGTTTTGAAAAAAAGAAAAAAAAAAAACTTGTATCTCTTCTTCCGTTTAGCGCTTGGAGCCTCGGGAAGGCGAACTCTCATCTGTCCTACTATGACGGGTTGATCCAGCTGACCTACGTTAATGGCTCCCAGTACAACAATGCAAAACACACCCTGAGATCCACCCTCATCTCCTTCCTCTGTGATCCAGAGGCTGGACTAGGAAGCCCAGAATTCCAGGTAAATTCCCTCTTTTGTTGTTATCTTTCAAACTCTCTCTGCACGTGCTTGATTCAAATTTTTTGAACACAGGTTGAGGATAACTATACCTATAATTTCCGCTGGTACACATCCTACGCATGTCCTCAAAGGCCTCATGAATGTTTGGTGACAGATCCCATCACTCTCGACCAATATGACCTGTCCAGGTAAATGTTAGTTTGCAAAAAAGGGTCAGCTAGAAATAATTTGCCCTCCTCAACTTCCCATTGTTTTGTTTTTTTTCCTGAATCCAGCTTGTCGCGATCCACCTCATCTAAGAACTGGCTTGCAATGGATTTGACCGACACTGCGAACATAAAGAAGTACTACATCAACATATGTCAGCCCATCGTCCCGGTGCCAGGATGTGACCGGGACGCATCAGTTTGCCAGATGAAGTACATAAACGATAAGGTGTGAATTGCTCTTTTTTATTTATTTTTTCTTAACGGTAAAGAAAAATTTGCTTTTTTTGTCTAGTTTCATCAAGCTTCAGGCTGTTAACCTGGATCTAATCTGATCTTTTCTGAAATTGAATTGAAAACAAGACTAAAAATGCTCAGGGATTCCTGACTGCAAATTTGTTAAGCTTACTAGTAGTACAACAAGTGTATGTGGTCCATAATGCATACAACCTGCAGGCCTAAGAGTCAATGTCCTAGGAATAGAATAGAACAGAAAATCTCTTTATCGTCCCACAGTGGGGAAATTGTCGTGTTTACAGCAGCAAAGCAATTATAGAAGGAAAAAATGGCCACACAAATGTGGACCTTAGAAATAAGAATAACTTAATAATAAAGAGTTGAAAGATAAACAATGAAATAAGGTACAGTAAGGTGTTTTAACAATATAAATCCTGTGCACCTGGAGAATAAATAACCAAAATACAGCTAGGGAAATTTTTACAGTAATGGATATTTGAAAATAAAAGTAACATCAGAGATGTGCAAAAAGACAGGAGCATGTTATTTAAAGGAGAAGTTCGGTTTTTAACACTTTTAGCCCATTTTCTGTAGTGTCCAGGATGAAATCGAATGATCGACACCAAAATTTTGACAATTGGTCCTGTCTCTGCTTTTTGGCTCATTTAGAATCCCCCCCTGGCTGCTTCAGAATGGCTTCCATAGAGCATGTCCGATAATGTCCTTAAAACAACCTTAAACGTTCTTTTTTTAAAATATGCTACTCACCGGGTCGTCAGCGCTGTTCAATGACGTTCCAAAAAAAGTTTCGTGAAGAAAAAACGTTCCTGTAGTGTTTTATTTAGCATTTTGTAAATCCCATTGAGTTCTGTTGGAATAGTCAATATCCCTCCGGAAACGGAAATGGGGCCTGTTTACACAGTTGTAGTCTTTTCGCTTCACTCTGTGTACTCCGACGTCGAGGTGCTAACGTCTCTGTTAAACACTTTAAAAAACTCTGAAAATGGAATACGAAAGGTGGATTCTTGATTCTCGACGTCGGAGTACACAGAGTGAAGCGAAAAGACTACAACTGTGTAAACAGGCCCCATTTCCGTTTCCGGTGGCAGCGGAATATTGACTATTCCAACAGAACTCAATGGGATTTACAAAATGCTAAATAAAACACTACAGGAACGTTTTTTCTTTACGAAACTTTTTTTGGAACGTCATTGAACAGCGCTGACGACCCGGTGAGTAGCATATTTAAAAAAAAGAACGTTTAAGGTTGTTTTAAGGACATTATCAGACATGCTCTATGGAAGCCATTCTAAAGCAGCCAGGGGGTGATTCTAAATGAGCCAAAAAGCAGAGACAGGACCAATTGTCAAAATTTTGGTGTCGATCATTCGATTTCATCCTGGACACTACAGAAAATGGGCTAAAAGTGTTTAAAACCGAACTTCTCCTTTAACTGACTGAGATAGAAACTATGCAAAATCAGCATGAAAGTAACAACTTGTTGTGCATATATGTCACTTAAAATTTGCATATATGCATATGCATATATATGTATATACACTATATTGCCAAAAGTATTTGCTCACCCATCCAAATTATTGGAATCAGGTGTTCCAATCACTTCCATGGCCACAGGTGTATAAATTCAAGCACCTAGGCATGCAGACTGTTTTTACAAACATTTGTGAAAGAATGGGTCGCTCTCAGGAGCTCAGTGAATTCCAGCGTGGAACTGTGATAGGATGCCACCTGTGCAACAAATCCAGTCGTGAAATTTCCTCGCTCCTAAATATTCCACAGTCAACTGTCAGCTGTATTATAAGAAAATGGAAGTGTTTGGGAACGACAGCAACTCAGCCACGAAGAGGTAGGCCACGTAAACTGACGGAGCGGGGTCAGCGGATGCTGACGCGCATAGTGCGAAGAGGTCGCCAACTTTCTGCAGAGTCAATCACTACAGACCTCCAAACTTCATGTGGCCTTCAGATTAGCTCAAGAACAGTGCGCAGAGAGCTTCATGGAATGGGTTTCCATGGTCGAGCAGCTGCATCCAAGCCATACATCACCAAGTGCAATGCAAAGCGTCGGATGCGGTGGTGTAAAGCACGCCGCCACTGGACTCTAGAGCAGTGGAGACGCGTTCTCTGGAGTGACGAATCGCGCTTCTCCATCTGGCAATCTGATGGACGGGTCTGGGTTTGGCGGTTGCCAGGAGAACGGTACTTGTCTGACTGCATTGTGCCAAGTGTAAAGTTTGGTGGAGGGGGGATTATGGTGTGAGGTTGTTTTTCAGGAGCTGGGCTTGGCCCCTTAGTTCCAGTGAAAGGAACTCTGAATGCTTCAGCATACCAAGACATTTTGGACAATTCCATGCTCCCAACTTTGTGGGAACAGTTTGGAGCTGGCCCCTTCCTCTTCCAACATGACTGTGCACCAGTGCACAAAGCAAGGTCCATAAAGACATGGATGACAGAGTCTGGTGTGGATGAACTTGACTGGCCTGCACAGAGTCCTGACCTCAACCCGATAGAACACCTTTGGGATGAATTAGAGCGGAGACTGAGAGCCAGGCCTTCTCGTCCAACATCAGTGTGCGACCTCACAAATGCGCTTCTGGAAGAATGGTCAAAAATTCCCATAAACACACTCCTAAACCTTGTGGACAGCCTTCCCAGAAGAGTTGAAGCTGTTCTAGCTGCAAAGGGTGGACCGACGTCATATTGAACCCTATGGATTAGGAACGGGATGTCACTTAAGCTCATATGTGAGTCAAGGCAGGTGAGCAAATACTTTTGGCAATATAGTGTATGTGTGCATGGGTGAAAACTTAAATAATTGTATGAAAACAAAAACAAAAAAATCCAGACCCTTCCCCTTTAAAACTCTGTCCAGTTTAATGGTCTTACTTTTTTTTTTTGCAGGGCTCTACAAAGGAGGTGGTGTCGGTCAGTAACATGGGGAAGTCCAAGAGAGGTCCAATCATCGAGGGAAGGGACCGGCTGCTGCTGGAGTTCACTGATGGTTCTGTCTGCATGTCGGAGGGCCAGAAACTTACTTATACTACAATCATTCACCTGGTCTGCTCTAGAGGAGCCTCTGTAAGTTCATGCTGTCAAAAAAAACGAACCTATAAACACATTTTTCGCTGTTCAAATATAGAACATTCATTTAAATCAGCCTGAGAAAAACAAATATGAGATTTACCTGCTCATTCTAATAAAAAAAATGTGTTTATCAGCCCTTAGCATTTACTGCAGTTTCAGCCCAGATGCAAATTGATTATAATGTTATACATCAAATACTTAACTTTTCCTACTTACGTATTGATTAACCGTGTGGTCATGATCTAATATCATTTGTGAGTTGAAACAATTGTAAGGGTGGTTTAAAGGCAGTAAAGTGTAAACCAGTTATTACTTTATGCCACCTGCTGGACTGCAAATACTTAAAGCAGCAACAGAAATGTTCTGTTTTTAGTCAAACTTTTATTTATTAGAAGAATAAAAAAGTTAGTCCACAGGAACAGGGAATTGATACCTTGATTTTCTAATTATCAAAATAACTTTATTAATCCTTGGCGGGAAATTATTTTCTTGCGGTTTAACCGTTTACAGAAGAGAGTAAAATAAGATTGTAAGTACAATAGATATAATAAAATATAATATGATAAGACAGATTAAAATAAGTAAAATTACAACCCAGACAGTAAAACTGCACCCTTCCCATATTAACAATGTAAATTAAGATGTAAGGAAATCTGTATACGATGGTAAGCATCCCCGTTAGCTGGGAGGCTGCCTTTAAATCCTGGTCTGTCTTACTGCAACGCTGTAAAAGTTAAAAAAGCAAATAAAAAAAAATAAATACCTACAGAAATAAAAAAAAAAAAAGTCCAAAGAGAGCAGCTAAATATTAACTATATATTTTGGTACTGGCAGTTTTTACCACATATCTCAAAAATGTTAATATTCAATTTTAACCAAAACAAACGACTGGTTGTGGAAAATCCCAGAGTACCTGGCTGAATATCTGAGGATTCCCAGCATTGCCTGTTTAGCTTAAATAACCTATGAGACAGACCAGCCTGTTAGCAAGCTAATATCACTAGCTCCAAAAACTTAAATCACATTTTAACGGCGGCTCATAATCTTGATAAACAGTGTGCACAGATTAGGTTTTGAAGTTTACTTTATCCTCTAAAAACGTCTTAAAACTAATTTTTGTGACAATCCAATTAACAAGAAAGGACTGACTGAGTTGTCAACATTATTTCCATGTTAGAAGGGAAATCCAACCCCAGAATCTTGCTGAGGAAGCAACCAGAGCAGCTTGACAGCACAGCACTCTGCTGCTCTGAAAAATCTAAAAGAACATTTAAGTCTGCTCATTCTTAAAGTCATAGGGAAGTCATATTTAAATGTCAAACCATTCTGGCATGTATATAAATGTACTCTTTATCAGACGATATTGTCCCAAAGTTCAGAAAATTTCTACAAAAAAAAAAAATCCTGTCTTAAAATCTGTGGGGGGTTTTCATTATCTTATGCAGGTCAGTTAATTATACGTCAGCTTGTACACCTAAATTTGGCCAATCATATATCAACGGTTATCTGTCAATAAAATTTTTTCAGTCATAGCATCTTAGGGATGGACGTCTGTGTCTTCAGCAGGCGTAGAGCTAACAGAACTGGCAGCTTTGCGAGGCAAGGGCTCAAAGATGTTCGGCTGTAAGCCTTCTACACCAAACCAAGCTTCTGCCGCCCTGGCGTCCTCTTCCACAACATCTTCGTCCCCGCTTTCCTCCTCTAAATAAAAAATGTATGACAGAGGAGACTCAACCACGACCTACGACACTAAACTCTCCTCTTGCATGTTTCCTCTGTCCATAGCGTTCCTTGACAGTGTCGTTTCTAAGTCACCAATTTAGTGCTAATTGGTCCCAATGGAATTTCCCATTGGGAACCTACTTGCATTAAGTTGCTAACTGGTTAGCAAGATGCTTCCAACAAACTGGCCACAACAAAAATTGCTGCAAACCTCCCGCCACAACAATCCCGCCCCCTTCATAGACAACCAATCAAATTCGCTTTATTTGTGTAAAGCCGTGCACCACTTGGGAGAATTCAAAAATGCAACGGTTGGAACGGTCGTTTCCCTACGACTTTAATAAACTGACTACACAAATTAAGTAGTGTGGTATTCTTTATAGCTTATGACCAAAAGTACAGTAGGATATCTTTCTGAGCTCAGCCTAGTCCCATAATCAATCCCAGGGAAAGTTAAAAGGTGTTGCCTGAAATCAGGCAATAAAGCCCAAGTAAAGTATCGCCCATGTAATGGCTTGGGTACATTTTAACAGAAAGCACCTCATAATAGGAAAGTTGCTGAGCTGCTCTCCATGATAGTGTTTTTAACTATATTTTTCTGCTCTCTTTAAAGGCTATGGGCCCGCGTTTCGAGTTGAACCAGAACTGCACTGCCATCTTTGTGTGGGAGACCAAAGCTGCCTGCGCCATCCAAACCATTAAGAATGATGTAAGTTTCCACACATCCTTCTTACTGTCACATCATTTGTCAACTTTTCTACTGATGATATGATTTAAAATGATGATTTTTGGTATTTTCCAATGCTCCAGTCCTGTGAGATTGCAGATCCCGTCTCTGGTTTCAAGTACAATCTTCGGCTTTTGGCCTCTAAGGAAGGATACAACACAACTGCTAACGGCAAAGACTTCTTGGTAAAACACTCACAGTTGCAGCAATCACTTCAGATCTTTCATTTATATCACATATGTCAAAGTCAAGGCCAGCGGGCCAGATGTGGCCTCTGAATTGTTTATCCACGGCCCCCTGGATGATATTTAATTACCATTAGAACCGGCCTAGGCCACGTCGTTTGTGCGTGCTGCTGTGAGTTTGCAGGCTACCATTACATTGTAGGAAATGCATGGATAATGAGGTTGTGTTGTACACACCAGCACTACATTCCCAGGGGAAAACATGATTGTGTTTTATCTCAGGATAATTCTTGGCGGTACGCCCACTATGAAAGTAGAGGGATTGAGTAGGGAACAAAACAAAGTTAATGAATGCTAGGGGTGTAAATAATAATCATTTTGTATCGATGCATCGATCCAACAGCCGACGATCCGATGCACCGACACGTCCGCAAGAGAATCGATTCATGTTTTTTTTTTTTTTTCTCCGGTCTATTTTTATCCATTTCGTCCTGGATGTAATTCTCCTCCCGTGCTGCGGTGGCGCTAAACCTGTTCTGCCCTCCTACCTCGCTTCCTGGTTATACTCTTACACCAGTGTGTTGCAGTAAGCTTGACACAGACATTTTTAAATTATGCTCAATATTGAAGCGTGGTCTGTGCTACACACTGTGGGTCTAGATACGGCCGAGGCGGCGAGGAAGTGGGGGCGAGTTTAGTCCGACGACGGAGGGACATGAGGGCCAAAAAGAGTGGAGATCCAGGTGGAAAATAATCGAATCGTTGTGTCAGGAAATGGATACTGAATCGAATCGCCATGATGGATGTGATTTACACCCCTAGTGAATGCACTTCAGTAGTTGTTAAAAATATATCTGTTATTTGTTTGTTTTTAGCTTTCTTCCTATATGGAAAGTTTTTCAAAATTTGAAACATATCTACTGGGCCAGAAAGTAATGGGGTAAATTTGTCGTTACCAGGTTTTTCTTGTGTTTATTGTCAAGTTGGTCTTACATTTTTATTTTAAATGGGATTAAAAAGTCTTAAAACGTCTTGAATTTAACTTGCCCTATGCTGTAGGAACCCTGAATAAACATTTCACCAGTCCGGCCCTCGGCTTGTTGCAAATTAGTTTTTTTTTGGCCCTCGGTGTATTTGACTTTGACATCCCTGCTCTATATGGTTGTTTCACAATGCACCATCTCCTTATGAGTTTTTCATTATTCATCATTCATGGTGCCAGATGTTAACTTGACTCCGCCAGATGGATTTGCTCTGCATATTAATCTGGAAACCTTCTGTTGAAGTAATTTTTGGAAGGGGTGAAAATACTGGTTAGCTGATTGGCCTATGTTGGTGATAGACGGGCCAAATAAACCAGTCAGATCACCGAAGCATATGACGTACTAACAGAGCGACGACGACAACTCAACCACAAGCCAGGCTACTCTTGCCGAAGCCAGTCGGGAGAAGAGCAAAAACATCTTTTCTCTGAGAAAAGCCTCCAGAGCAGTGTTTTGCTCTTCCTTCAGTGAAGAAATACTCTGTAATTCCGATAAAAGTTGCTTGATAGCCACGCTAACGCTACTTTCATCGGCTGAAGCCGCCATGTTCTTTAGACTGAACTGTCGCGCTTCTCGTTGCGTCACACCTCAACCCGCCTCAAAGCCAACGCTGATTGGACGTTCGTTTGGTGAACGGCTCCAAATTTTCTTTAACGGAGAGTCTCCAGACTGATCTGCGAGTGAAACCTTGAAAGCTCGCGAGATCAGGATGGTCACACGAGGCTAGCCAGATGTGCCCATAGCTTCAAAATGAAAAATCTTCAGATCATTATACCCTGCAGATGAAATTTTTTAATAAGAATTACCTTTTGACAACAGATAATGATGAACCTAATATTTGGTATAAAAGTTGGTATTTAATTAAAGCTAACTGAAACTATGTAGATTTTTTTTCTTAGATTTAGAAAATAAACTGAATGCTGAAAACAAGTTAAAAAGAAATTATGCCTCCAACTGCAGGTCAACATCTGCGCAGACGCACCAAGATGCGGACAGGGGATGGGCGGCTGTGAGATAGAGAACGGGCAGGCGATAAGCCCCGTGGGGGTGGAGAAGACACTCAAGTACTCCACTGATGGTGCACTACAGCTGACGTATAAAGGAAGTCTGGATGGGAAATCAGGTACTATAAGCAAAGAATAAATACAAAACATGGATTTAAGTGCAGACAATTTTAAGATTACCTTAAAATGACAGTTAAAAAGATGTATTTGTTTTTATAAACTTTTCTTTAAGTGATTCCAGTAATTATTTGTTGCTAAAATGTTTTAATAGCAATCTGTTCATTGTGTTGCTCAGATTAAACGGTAGGAATCTGACTTAATCACATCTTAACTCCAAAATAGGCTCCATTGCTGTGCTCTATGCCCAATGAAGGGACCCTAGAAAGCAAACCTTTTTCAATAATTATGCAACATTGATGTAAACTGAAACAAAAAACCCATTTCTTTTGGTCAAGGACTGTTTGTTCCGTTTGGTTCCCTTAATTTTTCTCCCTCTGTTTTTTTTTTCTTGCTTTTTTTTTTTTTCCAGCAACCAGAGACACCTTCACCATCAACTTTGTGTGTAACCCAAAATCTCACCCTGGGTCATTAAAACTGGTGAGAGAAGACATGAGTACTCTATCCAGCCACGTTGTCCATGAAGCCCTGTTCGAGTTCTCTACAGCTCTGGCCTGCATCCCCGCTTCTGTCGACTGCAGGATCGTTGGTAGGCTCACAGACGCACTCATTCACTGTTGGTAACGAATAAAGGTTCAGTTCTAACTGCAGCAAAAATCTTAAATCATGTTTTTAGATCCCCATGGAAATGAGTATGATCTGAGCCACCTGATCCGAGACGAAGACGACAGCCCCTGGATCCCTATGGACCCGGGTGCTGGGACATCACGCAAATTCTACATAAATGTCTGCAAGCCGCTCCCAAGTCATGAAGAGTGTCCAGGTTAGGAAACATCCCCGTTTTGACTCTTTACAGCTTAAATAAAAAGTGACATTTACGACAAACGGCAGAAGATTTGGTTCCTCCCCTTCATACTTGTAGCCGTCTGTCCGATTTCTCCTCAGTGGGTCCTCTCGGAGCTTGTGGCGTGATAAATGGGAAAAGTTTCAACCTGGGTTACATACAGTCCAGCCCGCAGGTGGCAGATGAAGGCTCCATCACCATCATGTACCAGAACGGAGACAAGTGTGGCGATTCATCCACGTACTCGACACGCATCTTACTACAGTGTGCCGATAACCCGGTGAGAGCGAAAGCAGTCACATTTTTAATGTCTGGATCTGATTTTTAGTGAAAGAACTTTTTACCAAAAAATTCTGATATATATTTATCTAAATATTTATAATTTAAATACATTAGGCATGAATAAAACATCCCTGTGCAGTAATTGCTCCAATCGTGTCACAAAGCTAACCAAAACAATTGCAGCTACTCTGATATAATCATGTCTCTATTCATGACTGTTGACTTTTAGGGCTCCCCCATGTTTGACCGTCAAGATGGCTGCGAATACGTCTTTGTGTGGAGGACATCAGAGGCATGTCCGATCAAGAAGGTTAAAGGTAATAAAATGTCAGCATGCAGTCAGGATTCTGTGAATCCCAAAAAAATCCTGCGAGAGTAAAATTGTTTCTCTAACCTTTTTCTCTCAGGGGAGAACTGTCGAGTTCGTGACCCCAAGAGTGGCTATGAGTTCGACTTCAGCTCTCTGAAGGACAAGGATTTTTCCATCCCCAGTGACAAGTACACCTACCACCTGTCAGTCTGCAGCGCGCTGCAGAAAGATGTCTGCCCACACAAAGGCACAGAACCTGTGTCTTCCTGCCAGGTGTCTGGAAGCACTCACAAGACTGCCGGTGAGGAGATGCAGACGCATCAAAAACGGCAGAATCATCCTTTCTTTTGTCCTTTGTGTAGAACTGTTCCCTCCCACCTTTTAGATCTAATTGTGTGTGTTTGTGTGCATGCAGGATTGTCAAACCAGATACTGAATTATGTCGGGGATCAGATCATCCTGAACTACACCAGTGGAGACACCTGTCATAGAATCTATCAAAGATCCACGGTCATCAGCTTCTCTTGCCACCCTGACAAACATCCTGTAAGTCTCACCTGGTTCGCAGTTCATTTTGCCTCACTTCAGTCGACCATGTTGAATTTTCTGTCCATTTATATATTTGAAGTGTGGTTTATTTACTTAAAAACCAAGTTAAATTAGAGTGTAAGGTCACTGTTTTTCGTTCTTCAGGGAGTACCAGAGTTCATTAAGGAGACTCCTGATTGTACCTACCTGTTCAACTGGCCCACTGCCCTGGCTTGCATCCCAGCCAAAGCTACCAGCTGTTCCTACAAGTAAACATGCATACAACTTTGTTTTTTTATCTCAAGTGTCCTTCTCCTATGAATACAAATGTTGAAAATCAGTCGAGCACCAACAGTTATTGTTTTATTATCTGTACTTTTGTTTGCTTTTCAGAATTTTGTCTGTCCAGGGCTAGACTTTAAAACAAACTAGCATAATAGTATTATAATATAATTTAACTTTGTTAATCGCACACTGGAGAAATTTACCCCTGCATTTGACCTATCCACTTGGGAGGCAGTGTGGGGGTTAAGGGTCTTGCTCAGAGGCCCAGAGTGCAGGCTGTGGGGATCGAACCAGATACTTGCAACCTTCTCAGAGCACAAGTGCACTGCTCACCTGCATAGGTCTGCATACCTATAATAACTTTTCATTAAAGGTATTGTGGGGGATTTTTTAAAAGACCCGCCCTCTCCACTTTAAAAAGAAAAAGGCGCGTGCAAGAGCGTGCACAAGCCCATTTCTGCTTGTGCAAGCCTGTTTAAAATGTTCTGTTGTCACAGTTTATACAAGCTTACAGTGTCCTCACACAGCTGGGACTATGTGGTGGACTTTATAACAAACTGACCGCTCAGACACATGATCACAGTGCCTGCGCCATCTCTGTTATTAGTCGCCGATGTCGGCTAGCGGTAGCCTATGGCGACAGCAGGTCGCTATGACAGCTAATCCCATAATACTTTGCTAGGAGAGCTCTCCTCGCAAAGGATTCCAGGATTAACCTGACTCCGCCAGATGGATTTACTCCGCATATCCATCTGGAAACCTTCCGTTGAAGTAATTTTGGGAAGGGGCGAAAATACTGGTTAGCTGATTGGCCTATGTTGGTGATAGACGGGCCAAATAAACCAATCAGAACAACGAAGCATATGACGTACTAACAGAGCGACGACAAAAACACAACCACAAGCCAGGCTACTCTTGCCGAAACCAGTCGGGAGAAGAGCAAAAATATCTTTTCCTCTGAGAAAAGCCTCCAGAGCAGTGTTTTGCTATTCTTTCAGTGAAGAAATACTCTGTAATTCCGATAAAACTTGCTCGTTAGCCACGCTAACGCTAGTTTCATCGGCTGAAGCCGCCATGTTCTTTAGACTGAAATGTCGCGCTTCTCGTTGCGTCACACCTCAACCTGCCTCAAAGCCAACGCTGATTGGACGTTCGTTTGGTGAACGGATCCAAATTTTCTTCAATGGAGAGTCTCCAGACTGATCTGCGAGTGAAACCTTAAAAGCTCACGAGTTCAGGATGGTCTCACAAGGCTATTCCAGGATATATCTGCCTCTTCTGAGGCCTTTCTTTTCTTCTCATACACTTAGACACTTTTCCTCTTACGACCCTCGGCCATTTTCAAACAGCTGCGGTGAGAAAGGTGAGCTTCAATGACCATCTGAATCCATAGCTCACCACAGATATGCGGCTGAAAGTGCGCATGTGCAGAAAAAGAGTAATTGCGTAAATGTGTCACCAGAATGATTGACAATTAGAACGACCACTTATTAAGATTATCCGCCCGGAAATAAAAGATTGTCCTCTATACTTTTAAGATCCGACTTGGAGTTGACATATTGATGTTGAATTGTGATTGATGTGCCCGCCGTAAAGTTGCCTACAGAGGCAAAATTTAAATCAAGTAAAATACTTCAGTTAGGGTCTTTCTAAACCCTTCAGGTCCAGATATTCTAATCCAGAGCTAAAGTTAGTTGATCCCGAAATGCTAAATTCACTACTTTGTCTCTGTCTTTAGCGACGGCCGGGGCCACTCCTATGACCTCTCTCCTCTGACTTTGGACTCTCAAAACTGGGAGGTAGAGATCTCGACTCAAACCACGGGGAAAAGGTTTTACATAAATGTCTGCAGGTCTCTGGTTCAGCAGGGAGGTCAGTGCTCATTTTTATGCAATTAATGTTCCCTAAAAAACTGAGAATCAAACATTTATAGTCTGTTCCTCATCCCACAGGTTCTTGGAAGTGTCCCTCTAATGCAGCTTCCTGCGTGAAGGATGGGGATGAATATGTGAGCCTGGGGCAGCTGACATCCAGCCCTGAACTGGACGGAGACGTTCTGAAGCTACAGTATACCAGCGGCCATCCCTGCCCGAACAGGAGCGTTAACCGGAGCAGCATCATCCGCCTCAAGTGTGACAAAGATAAAGTGGTGAGAGAAACTGCAGCCGAACCCACATTAGTAACAGGATGAGCAGAAATGTTGCTCTGTTCAGACACTAACTGCAGCAGTTTGGCATTAACAGATCCAAAGGGGCTCCTTTTATATTCCCTCATGGTTCTATACCCCTGAGTCCCAGTATGTTGCAGTCAATCTACCAAAAAAAGTTAAAAACAAAACCACTGGATTTGTTATTCCAAGTTTTAAGACCGTCCAGAAAGCTTTGACAATTCAAATTGTCTGGAGTAGTGTGGACTACAGTAGTGTGGATGGATTTTGAATTGAGAAAGCTCTCTGTATGGGAGATAAAACCTCTTCAAACTTGGAGTAAAAAGTCCAGTGGTTTAGTTTTTAACTTTTTATTTGAATGACTACGACCTGGATGACTGAGAATCCTCCCCAGCATCCAGTCAACATTCTAATACCTGCCCAATTTCTTACCAATACACACACTAGGGTTTAATGCTCACAGATATTTGTCCGTGCAAATTAAAGCTTAATATTTAAGTACATTTTTGTTTTTTGTCGTTTTGGTTTCGTTTTATAATGCCTTTATAATGAGCATTAAAAATATTGGATTTTACTCTTGTGTCCCCCTCAGGATTCCAGACCCACTCTGATCTCTGAGATAGAGGACTGCGTGTACACGTTCCTGTGGTTAACAGCTGCTGCTTGCCCTCTAAACACCAGCCAGCACGACGGGTGCAGAGTCACCAACCCTGCCACAGGTCCGACACCCGCTAGTGCTCCAGATCTGAACACCAGGACTGTAACTCAGTAATGATGCATGATTGTGTGATGTTACGGAGCCCCTAAAGGGACATGGAGGGCTAAAAATAAACTTTTGCGGGATCTCGCAAAAGTATTGCGAGATCTCGCAAAAGTATTGCGGGATCTCGCAAAAGTATTGCGAGATCTCGCAAAAGTATTGCGGGATCCTGCAAAAGTATTGCGGGATCCTGCAAAAGTATTGCGGGATCTCGCTAAAGTATTGCGGGATCTCGCAAAAGTATTGCGAGATCTCGCAAAAGTATTGCGGGATCTCGCAAAAGTATTGCGGGATCCTGCAAAAGTATTGCGGGATCTCGCTAAAGTATTGCGGGATCTCGCTAAAGTATTGCGGGATCTCGCTAAAGTATTGCGGGATCTCGCTAAAGTATTGCGGGATCTCGCAAAAAATAAACTTTTGCGAGATCCCGCAATACTTTTGCAAGATCCCGCAAAAGTATTACAGGATCTCGCAAAAGTATTGCGGGATCTCGCAAAAGTATTGCGAGATCTCGCAAAAGTATTGCGGGATCCTGCAAAAGTATTGCGGGATCCTGCAAAAGTATTGCGGGATCTCGCTAAAGTATTGCGGGATCTCGCAAAAGTATTGCGAGATCTCGCAAAAGTATTGCGGGATCTCGCAAAAGTATTGCGAGATCTCGCAAAAGTATTGCGGGATCTCGCAAAAGTATTGCGGGATCCTGCAAAAGTATTGCGGGATCTCGCTAAAGTATTGCGGGATCTCGCTAAAGTATTGCGGGATCTCGCTAAAGTATTGCGGGATCTCGCTAAAGTATTGCGGGATCTCGCTAAAGTATTGCGGGATCTCGCTAAAGTATTGCGGGATCTCGCAAAAAATAAACTTTTGCGAGATCCCGCAATACTTTTGCAAGATCCCGCAAAAGTATTACAGGATCTCGCAAAAGTATTACAGGATCTCGCAAAAGTATTGTGGGATCTCGCAAAAGTTCTTTTTTTCCCCTCCGGGGCTCCGTATGATGTGTTGCTAATGTTTGTAAAGTTCTGAAATTATGTCACATCACACCGATGCACTTATTCATGCAAAAGGCACTCCAACTAAATAGAGTACCTATATGCTACACAGAGATTCAGTCGCCTGAATTATGGGTTTTCTTAGCTGTAAAATTTGATCCTCCAAACAAACAGAAATAAATGATCTGGATATATCAATCTGGTTGCTTTGAATTTATATGAAAAAAATTGCTTCAACTTTTTAAGTGAATTTAGTCAACTTTTCAACAACGTTTAAGGTTGCTGAGCTTTGTCTAAAACTTTATTCCTGAAGTTTTCCTATTTTGATGGGGTTTTTTTCCCTCCCTCAGGTCACTTATTTGATCTGAACCCTTTGAAGACAGCTGAAGATTACGTGGTTTATGATCACAACAACAGAAAGAAGATGTTTCGCTTAAACATCTGTGGAAAAGTGACCAACTCTGGATGCAGTTCAGAATCAGGTAGGTGAATTCCCACAACCCATCCGGGGTTTTTTTAATACAGAAAAAGCTCAGCACTGGATCAGCAGTGGCTGATCAAAGAGGTAAAGATTTACAACCAATTTAAACCAGTGAGCAAAGAAGCAATGTTATATATTAAAAATCTAGTCTGTGTTCCTCAGCTCAGGTGTTCCAGTGTCTCTGTTAGTGTTCAGTCAAAGTCTAACCAGTCAGAGATTCCCTGCAGGTTTCTCTTCATTACCATTTTGTCCATCTTAAATATACAGATGGTTTATAAAGCACTGAAGTCCTGCGTCATCAGTGTATGGAAAGTACATAACAGAGCATCCAACCCCTCTGAAATTATTACCCACTCTTCTACCAGATACACAACCTTGCAGATTGAATTAGTTTACTATAATCTTGAAATTCTTTGAAATGTTTAAACAGTGTCTAACCTTTGATTGTCTCGGTTGGTTAAAAACACAAACAAATGAATGGCAAAGAAAAAAAAAAACAATTCCTGAAAATTATAAATCTGCATCAAAGGCTCAGTTTGTACCAGAATAACTGATATTTATATACATTTGCATGTTTATTCCAGCTGTATGCATTAAGGAGGGAAATACTGCGGTGAGCGGTGGTGAATTGAGCACCGAGCTGTCGTACAGAGATCGTGTGTTGGAGCTGACATATGACGGAGGAAGCCCCTGCTCTGCAAACCCCAACCTGAAACACAAAACCATCATCCACTTTATCTGCAGGTACATTTCCTTTTTACTGGTCTGAAGCGTTATGTTTGTCATCCTGTTGGTTTTTTTCTTCGTAAAGTTTTGTTTTTCTGTCTAAATCACGGGCCTGCAACCAGGGTTCCCGCGGGTCCTTAAGAAGTCTTAAAAGGCATTGAATTCTTCAAAATAAAACTAAGGCCTTAATTGGTATTAAAATGTCTTAAATCAGTCTTTCGTAGGTCTTAATTTTTAAAACATCATAAATAGGATTATTTTTATTATGATTTACTTTTGTAATCTAAATAAAACGTTAAAATTGACCTTTTTTTTTTTTTTTTATAATGGCTTGCCATTATTGGTTCCGTCCCGATAGCGGAACCAATAAAAGCGTTGTTGCAGCCGGGACATTTGGGAGATGCACCATTAACTTTTTGTCTGGAAAATATGAGCAAGTGTAAATGTAACGAAAATTGGCTCCAGCCAAGAGTTTTCTCCATGGCTAAAACCAGGGAACATACATGAGGCTCAGTGGATTTTGTGCAAGAAGTCATTCAAGCTCAGAACGATGGGAATTAAGGCAGTGGAGTCGCACATGCGAAGCACGAAACACAAAGCGTCAAAATCGAGTTTCCGAGAAACAGCCGGTATTTCTCAGTTTAGTTCCACCCTTGTCTCTGCAACGCCTCCACTTATCACCAAATCAAACATACTAAGAAAACCATACAAAGAAAAATAGCTGCAAAAAAGACTTAGCACTGGTTATGTTGTGGCTTTAAAACTGATTTGTTTTGTTCCCTGCTAAAACAAAGTTTGTGAATTCAGTTAAATAATTGTTAAAATATATCTGTCATTTGTGTGTTTTTAGCTTTCTTCCTGTATGGGAAGCTTTTCAAAATTTGAAACATTAGTGCAGTGGTTTATGTTAAAATAAACCTTTGGGTTAAGTTGTCGCAAGCGGGTTTTTCTTGTGTTTCTTGTCAATTTGGTCTTAAATTTTTTTTCAAGTGGCATTAAAAATTCTTGAATTTAACTTGCCTTATGCGGTAGGAACCCTGTGCAACTCCAACTGTCCAAGAATCTCTTCTCCATGATCAAGTTAATGATTTGGTATTAGTTAACTTTTCTGTCATGCAAGAGAGATAATTCAGTGTGGGTAGTGTGGGTGCTTCCAAATGCTGTTGGAAAGTAGCACCCGAGGACTGAATTTACAGACCCCTGGTCTGGATTAAACTTGAAACTTAAAGCCTGAGCTTACCTAGATTATTCAGTTTTTGAGAATATGCACTTTGTGAAATATAAAAGCTTCCACACAGCAGCTGTAAGACTTTATAACTTTACAATTCTGAATATGACCGGACTTTTTAATAAAGAATAATAACTAGAACTGTGAAGGGACCAGATCTTGACACGGCACATAAAATAAAATCTTTAATAAGTCACTTTTGATAGCTTTAATAAAGATTTCCATCAAATGTTCCTTTTTTAAACACACCTATGGGATTTTTTTGTTTGTTTTTACAGGCCTTCTTCCATGAGCTCCATCCCTGAGGAGCCGGTCCTTGTTGCTTCGAATGCTGAGACTTGCACACACTTCTTCTCCGTCCACACACCGCTGGTCTGCGAACAAGCAGTAGGTGTTAGGTTTGAGTTTATTTGCATGTTTACAGTCCACTTTATAAAGAAACAACAACCAGTAGATTGTTTATTAGACAAATGAATTACACAATGTTTAAAGGCATACTATGCAACATTTTGCAGTTAATTAATGTGTTCCATAACGTTTTGGATGATTAAATGAGTCATTTCAGGTCGAACAAAGGTTTTCTCGGCCGCCCTGGTGGTCTGTAGGGGAAATACCGTACTTGCAATTGCAGGAGCCCTCGGCCCGCACCCACAGGCTCAGAAGTCTCGCGCATCGCGAGAGTCGGTCTTGCTTTACGGCGAGAACTGCTACACGCCCCCAGTGACAGGCATGCTTGTTGCTAGCGCAGTGGCGATATTTGTGCAGTTATCATGGCGGAACCAGTGAGAAAACAGCGAAAGCCAATGTCGGAAACATGCTAAATTTTCAAACTCGAAAATTGCAACAAAATAGTCACTTACCGCAGTAGACATGGTGATTCGTTGCGTTCGCCTGTCTGCTAAGCTCAAAACAACCGCGCCTGGCTTGACGGAGAAACCAGGAGAACAGCTGAGCATATTTACAACAGTGCACTTTTACTTTCGCCCTCTGGGGGGAGCCTCGCTGGAAAATCAACACCGGTTGCATAGTATACCTTTAAGCCTAATCTGGCAACAAAAAGCCTTAAAATTGAAAACACTTGTCAGGAGCCAGCAACATTAGAAACCTTTATTGCAGTAATTGTGATTGCACAGTTCTGTTGTTTTATAAACACGTTTTGTTATTAATGTTCAGTGATATTTGTGAGATCACACAACTATTATTATAGTTTAACTCTTATTTTTATATTTATTTCCATTATTAGGTAACCTGTTCGGTCCAGAATGGCTCTGCTCTAATAGATCTGACGCCTCTCATTCATGTCAATGAGTGCACTTTTACTTTCGCCCTCTGGGGGGAGCCTCGCTGGAAAATCAACACCGGTTGCATAGTATACCTTTAAGCCTAATCTGGCAACAAAAAGCCTTAAAATTGAAAACACTTGTCAGGAGCCAGCAACATTAGAAACCTTTATTGCAGTAATTGTGATTGCACAGTTCTGTTGTTTTATAAACACGTTTTGTTATTAATGTTCAGTGATATTTGTGAGATCACACAACTATTATTATAGTTTAACTCTTATTTTTATATTTATTTCCATTATTAGGTAACCTGTTCGGTCCAGAATGGCTCTGCTCTAATAGATCTGACGCCTCTCATTCATGTCAATGGATTCTACTCAGCAGCAGGTTGGTGGGATTGTGGCTTTCTGCACAAGCCAATCACAAACACAGTTAATATTTAACAGATTCTAGTTTAATTTAATTTGGTTTTTATGCCACACTCGTATAACCTGCTCCTCTTCTGTTTCCATCCTCTCAGATGTTGCTATCAACCCATATGAATCTCCAGATTTTTACATTAACGTCTGTGAGCCTTTGAACCCCATCCCAGACGTCTCCTGCCCACCTGGAGCCGCAGTGTGTATGGACCCTGATAATGAACCACCTGTGGTGAGAAAACGTGGACATGATCACCCGAAAAATGTCAACTAAGCAGAAGTGCTTAATGCTGACAAAACTTACCATAAACACTAGAAAGTGTCAGACAGAAGAGGCTCTTTAAAAGATTCAATAAGAATCTTGTTGAGCTGCACAGGGGGCCAGTAGATAGCACTGTTGCCTTGCAGCAAGAAGATTCCAGGTTCGATTCCCGGCCTGGGGGCTTTCCCTCTGTGGCGGCCTGCCACAGCCTTTATGGCAGAATAGATTTGACTTTCCTTTTATTTCAATCAAATGTGTTAATATTCTTTTAAAAGATAATAGATTTTTATTGTTATGATAAGGAACTGTGTGTACCTCTGTCTGTATTTATTAGAAATAAGATGGTTGATACATTTTATGTTGTATTTTAGAAATGTATTTTTAAAATTTTCTTTTATTCTCCATTCAAGGATATTGGACGGACCACCTCTGGGCCACAGATCAACAGTATGACAGGCAAAGTGTTCATCACCTACCAAAGCTCCACCCAGTGTCCATCTGACCCTCAGCAGAACTACAGTTCAACCATTATCTTTACCTGCCAGAAAGGCCTGGAGCTGGTCAGTCTGCACCCGTTGATTAGACATAATCCCATCCTGTCTTTGACTCTAACTGTTGCTTTCATGCGTTTTCCAGGGTTCCCCTCAGATGCTGGGGCTGCAGGGTTGTGTTTTCCTGTTTGAGTGGGCGACTCCTATCGTCTGCCCAGATTCCACCCAAACCAGCGGCTGCCAACTCAGAGACTCGCAGCTCGATTATACGTTTGATCTTAAATCCCTTTCTGGTGAAGTCCAGGTGCGCAGCAGGAGTCTGACATTCTGACTTCCATCTGCCTTGATTTAGAAATGAATACCTACTTATTTAAACTCTTTTTTTTTTTTTTTTTTTTTTTTTTTTGTCCTGAATGTTTTTATCTTTGATTTGTTAGGTGAAATCGAGCTCTGGCATGTATCACATCAACATCTGTGGCTCTGTGGCAGAGAAAGGCTGTATGCAGAGTGCGGTTTGCCAGGTGCCTAGTTCTGGTTCAGGGAAGCCCGCTGCATCGTATGGTATGAGTAAAGCCATGAAGATGGACTTCAAACATGAAGAGCAAGCAGTGCTGATGCAGTACGGAGGAGGAGATCCCTGCCCACCAGGTAGAGAGCGGCTTTTTACTTCACACCAAGTTCTGCCCTTCATAGTACAAAACTCTTAGAAAAGAAGCTTGAAATGTTGGAATAGTACGGAGCCCCTAAAGGGACATGGAGGGGAAAAAAGAACTTTTGGGAGATCCCGCAATAGTTTTGGGAGATCCCGCAATAGTTTTGCGAGATCCCGCAATACTTTTACAGGATCTTGCAATAGTTTTGCGAGATCCCGCAATACTTTTGCGAGAACCCACAATACTTTTGCAGGATCTCGCAATAGTTTTGGGAGATCCCGCAATAGTTTTGCGAGATCTTGGAAAAGTATTGTGGGATCTCCCAAGAGTTAATTTTTTTACGAGATCCCACAATACTTTTACGAGATCCCGCAATAGTTTTGCGAGATCCCGCAATACTTTTACAGGATCTCGCAATAGTTTTGCGAGATCCCGCAATACTTTTGCGAGAACCCACAATACTTTTGCAGGATCTCGCAATAGTTTTGCGAGATCCCGCAATAGTTTTCCGAGATCCTGCAGTAGTTTTGCAAGATCCTGCAATAGTTTTGCGAGATCTCGCAATAGTTCTGCGAGATCTCGCAAAAGTATTGCGGGATCTCCCAAAAGTTAATTTTTTTGCGAGATCCCGCAATACTTTGGGAGATCCCGCAATAGTTTTGGGAGATCTCGCAAAACTATTGCGGGATCTCGCAAAACTATTGCAGGATCTCGCAAAAGTATTGCGAGATTCTGCAAAAGTATTGTGGGATTTCGCAAAAAAATAAACTTTTGCGAGATCCCGCAATAGTTTATTTTTCTATTATTATTTTCGGGATCTCGCAAAAGTTTGTTTTTTGTGAAATCTCGCAAAAGTATTGCGGAATCTCGCAAAAGGATTGCGGGATCTCGCAAAAGTTTATTTTTTCCCTCCATGTCCCTTTAGGGGCTCCGTAGAATAGTGAAAAAAAAAATGTGGTACTGCTATAAAACAAAAACACTAGACCTAGATCCAGTATCATAAAAGCAATTAAACTGCAGAGCATGATCATTACTGTAGCAAATAATTTTATTAGACATTCATTAAAATGACAAAAACCAGTTAAAGAAGCGGGATTTGTGTGTTTTAGCGACAGACAAGAGCGAGATGTGCGTGTTCCCGTTCACCTTCATGAAGAAGAGGTATAACGAATGCACCACAGACGGAAGGACGGATGGTTTGAAGTGGTGCGCCACAACTTCCAGCTATGACAGTGACAAAAAATGGGGATTCTGCGTTGAAGGTGAGACTTTGTTAGCCTCTGGAAACCAGTGTTTCCAAGTCTGCATCACATTTGATACGAGTAGAGATTAAATGGAGCCTGAGAAAAACCTCAACTCGACTTAAAATGCTGAATCCTGTAGAATCCTCTGAAACCATTGAACACCTTATTAAACTTAAATTAATCAGTAATATAAAGCATTGTTATAACCACAAACTTTAGGTGTAAAATTTGAATGCAACTTCTTTAACTCTTAATTTCCCTAAAAACTATCCAGTACAACCTATTCTCTTTATACGTCTCCTAGTGAATAATAATAATTATTATTGCACTTCATTGATCTCACATTGAAGACATTTACCTCTGCATTCTGACCCATCCCCTCGCGAAAGCAGTGGGCTGCCATTGTCCGCCAACACTCCCCTAGGAGGGAGGGCACCTTTATGTTCTGTAAAACCCCCACAGGTGTTAGAAAACACGAGAAAGCATCTGGAAGACTAAACTTACTGCCAGAACATCAGTCGCATGCTTTTCAGTCGCACCTTTTCTTCCAAGGCGTTAAAGGTTTTTGTTTTAAAGAGACGTTAAGGCGTCTCAAATGTAAAATGTTCCCATTTTCATTCTCATTTTTCAGGTTCTGCGAAGCGTCAGTCCTCCATCCTCTTCAGATGCAACCACACTGTAGGCCACGGCAAACCGGAACTGCTCTCTGAGACCGCCGGCTGTTTGACCGAGTTTGAGTGGTACACCAGCACCGTTTGCCCCCCGAGGAAGATGGAGTGTAAGCTGATAAGGAAGCATCAGATGTTTGATCTTCGATCGCTGTCGTCCCTCACCGAGCCGTGGAATTTCAGCCACAAAGGATATTCGTACGTTTTTTTTGGTTTAGTCTTCTTGACGTTTGTATTTAAACATTGAAGCGAGAATCCCATCAATATTTAACCCCTTGGATTCCTTCCCTCAGGTATTATGTCAACTTGTGTCAGGGGATCAACAGTAAGCCTCTTAGCTGTCCAAAGGGGGCGGCAGTGTGCCGACGCACCGCAGCTGGACAGACTCAGTCACTGGGTCAGGTTTACACCCAGAAAATGATCTACGCAGGTAGGCATCTTTTCCTGCTGTCTGGTTGATAAAGTCCATATTTCTACTTCTTCAGAACCAGCAGCTGCTGATCAGGAAAAGTTTTCCTCATTAGAAACGTTTCGACATTTCTGTTTTGTTCCAAATGAAATGCTTCCTCATTGAGAAGGTTTTTGTTCCTGCACAGATGAAAAGATTTTGGTCAGCTATTCAGTAGGGGATGATGTCTGTGGTAACAGGATGAAGGCCAAAACGGTCATCCAGCTGAGCTGTGGCACCACTGTGGGAAACCCTTCGTTCTTAAGGTAAAACATACAAACAGCTTTAAAAAAAAATCTATTAAATGTGAGAAATGTCGCTGTTGTTGCCTCTAATGCTGCGTTCACACCGGGGGCAGCAAAAGCAGCAAAATCGCGTCTGCTGCTTCATTTTTGCTGCTTGTACCAGTGAATTCTGACGCGCGTCTGAAGCAGCTTTGCTGCTCTCGCTGCGCGGTCCAAAAGTGTGTCTGACGCGCGTTGGGCGGAGCTTCACTATCCTTTCTCTGCCTTGCAGCTATATTTGCTGTGATCAATGGGAATAAAGTAGTTTTAATATGTTTTTAAGTGAGAAAATACACCTGAAAACTTCCTCAGTGGAGTCAGTTCATCCAGATTACAATCCTGCCTCCCAATATTATTTTTGTCGGAGCCGCTCAGACCCCCACATACCAGCGGTGCGCCGACAGAAGGAATCCATTCATCAGCAGCCTCTGGCCAGGTCGCCTCCTCGCGGTTTACCGCTGTGGCTGGTAGGTGTTTTTCATCTAAATAATCCGATCTGCAGGCACCAGAATAATAAAAGCGAACATATTCTGCCGGCAGATGTATATATTTTAAGTTAATTATGCTTTAATAAACTGTTTAAGAGAAGTGATCAGAGCAGTCTGTGTCATCAGCGCTGTGTCTCTCTCCCAGCCAGCTCCCAGATCAGCTTCTCTGATTGGTTGACGCGGCGCGTCGAGCAGCAAAAATTCAATTTTTCCATCTCGAGCAGCAGCGCGTTTGCGGCGCGTCGCGCGCGTCAGATGCCAAAACGCGCCCGACGCGCTGCTTCGGCTGCTCGAAACGCGCCGCGGGACATTTTGCTGCGCCTTGACGCGCGTCAACCATTGACTTTGCATGTAAACTCGCTGCTTCTGTCGCGCCAGCTGCCCCCGGTGTGAACGCAGCATAAAGGGAGGAGGTTATTGTTTGGAAAAGAGAAGGAATACATTTGGTCAAAGTCATTAAGTTTGGATAACTCTGGGATTTAAGTTCAGTTTTCCAGATCAGTAAAAAAAGAGCTGAAAATCTGAAAAACATTTCTTTTCTTCCTCCTTTGTTCTCTTACTGTCTTTTCTTAACATTTATTCACATCTTCCTTCTGTCGCCTTTCTTCTTGTTTCCAGATTTTAATCTTAAAGCGCTCCCGCTGTAAAATTAGTACTAAACAGCTGTAAAAAGATGGGTTTAGAAAAGTTGCATAGGACCTTTTCAAAAAGACCTTTCATGTCGTCATATGTAATCGGAATTTAGTTGAGGATTGCCCACAAATTCGGTAATGACTCATCATGGTGTTAGTAAGGAGATGCTTGTTATTCCTTCTGATGGTTTTTCATCATGTCTGAATTGTTGTCTGTTAAAGTGATTGTCTGAAAACTGCTGACAAGGGTGATCTTTTTAATTTATTTTTTTCCACTGTGTTTGAAACAGGGAGGATCCTGCGTCCTGCGAATTTGTGATTAAATGGGAAACAAACTTGGCTTGTGCCTCGAAGCAGCAGGAGCTGCAGATGGTAGACGGGACGCTAAAGGTACCAGATACCGGAAACAGCCTGAATCTGGGAGAGCTCTACAACAGGTAGCTTTCTAAATCCTTCTCTCATTAGCAGTACTGATAAAGAATGTAGTTCTTATATTTTATTAAAGACAGAATTTACTCTGGGCTCAGAGTTGAAGTCTTACTTAACTAGCAGCTTTATTTACTAGGAATTAACTAGGGGTGTAAATCACATCCATCATGGCGATTCGATTCAGTATCGATTTCCTGACCCAACGATTCGATTATTTTGATACTCAATAATACACCACGATATGATTCAATTCGATTAATCGGTTAATTTATTTTTTTTTTTCTACACCTTGCAGGCTAAACAAAGTTTCAAGTTTGACATAAATCAATGAAAGCTGTAATATCGTTATGCATTTTTTTTTTTTAGAAACAACAGCAAATTAAAGCCACAAGTGGCATTGGGCGGCCCTCGCAGCTCGCACCGCCTGGTATGTTGCGATCGCGGGAACCAAGCGACCTCCACCTCCACGCTCCTTCCCAGCCTATGCTCCTGCTCTTCAGCCTATGCCTGCTGCTGCTTCTCTTCATCCTCCCCCTCCTTCTTGTTCTGCTGCTGCCACTGTTTCTTATCCTCCTCCTCCTGAAGCTTCTCCTCATCTTCCTCATCTTCCTGCTAATGCAGCTTCTCCTCATCATCATCCTGCTTCTGCTTATCTTCCTGTGTCTCCTTCTGCTCCTCCTGCTGTCGCTCTTGCTGTATCTCCTTCTCTTCATCCTGCTGTCGCTCTTGCTGCATCTCCTCCTCATCCTGCTGATGCTCTTTCTCTTCATCCCCTGGCTACTGCTGCTTCTCCTGATCCTCTTCATCCTCCTTATCCTGCTTCATTTAATCCTCCTCCATTCTCCTTCTGCTGATTATCTTCCTAATCATCCTCCTCCCCCTGTGCTCCTTCTCTTCATATTCTTCTTCCTGCTGCTGCTCTCACTGCATCTCCTACTGCTGTTTGTTTCTCATCCTCATCATCCTTCTCCTCCTCCTAAAAGCATGGCTTTGGATGACTGGAGTTAACAGTTTGATGCTTAGCCACGCCCACATGCTCCCATGTAGAATAATAATTTTGATAACTTTTAATCTGCTATGACTATAGTCCATGTAAAGTTAATTTGAAGTCTCAAACTCAAAAAAACCCAAGAGCCCTTCCCTCAGATATGTCATGACCTAAAAAAAGAAAATGGTATCTTTGATCCAAAATGGCCCATTTCTTGTTGGGTGTGGACCATGACTCCAATATACTTTTTTGAGCATCGTGTTCGGCTATACAAATTTAATAATCCTTAATAAAAGCAGGGCCTGAGGCAGTTTAGTCATACTCTAATGGCGCAAAGTCTGATTTTGATGCTTGGCCACGCCCACATGGGTTGTCACAGCAAAAACTCTTTTGATTGCTTTTGACCCCTTATGTCTTAAATCGAGGCTCAGCAAGTTAGAAGTTTGCCGCCCCCTTGCTCCTTCTCAGCCAGCGGAAAAGGCGCCACGCTTCACCTCTGGACCAGCCGGAGAAAACCACAGCTTTGGTGAG